CCCGCCGTTATAGGACATAATAGACTGGAACAGAGCAGGACGCGCAGGTACGGCCGCGGCCCTGCGGAGGCCTCGGGGGCACCGGCACCGCTCTCTTTAAGCCGCTGCCTGAGGGAAGCCCGCGGGGATGGGACCCCCGCGGGGACGGCCCCCATCCCACCCCGGGGCCACCCCCGCGCCTCGCCTCGCCCCGCCGGTCCCCGGGCCCGGTGCTCACCATGGCGCCGGCTCCTGAGACACCGCCAGGCCCCGCTCCGCTCCGCACCGTGCCGCTGCTCCCGCCTCCCGCTCCTTCCCATTGGCTGCCGCCGCGGCTTCCTGGCGAAGCGCCCCTCGCTATTGGTGGTTCGTGCTGCGGCGGGGAGCAGCTGATTGGTTGGTTGCGGAGGCGGGGAGGGAGGGGGGGTAAAAATGAGGAGTCATTGCTCGCGGGGCATGCCGGGACGGTGGAGGACTGGGCGGGAGGGGCGCGCTGGAGGGAGGGCGCGCACAGCTGGAGCCGCAGCTGGGTGGGTGTGAAGGGGCAACAGCTGGGTGTGCACACAGGGGCAACAGCTGGGTGTGCACATAGGGGCAACAGCTGGATGTGCATATAGGGGCAACAGCTGGGTGTGCACACAGGGGCAACAGCTGGATGTGCACACGGGGCAACAGCTGGGTGTGCACATGGGGCAACAGCTGGGTGTGCACATTGGGGCAACAGCTGGATGTGCACATGGGGCAACAGCTGGGTGTGCATATAGGGGCAACAGCTGGATGTACACATGGGGCAACAGCTGGGTGTGCACATAGGGGCAACAGCTGGATGTGCACATTGGGGCAACAGCTGGGTGTGTACACAGGGGCAACAGCAGTATGTGCACATAGGGGCAACAGCTGGATGTGCACACAGGGGCAACAGCTGGGTGTGCACATGGGGCAACAGCTGGGTGTGCACATGGGGCAACAGCTGGGTGTGCACACGGCCAACAGCTGGGTGTGCACATGGGGCAACAGCTGGGTGTGCACATTGGGGCAACAGCTGGATGTGCACATGGGGCAACAGCTGGGTGTGCATATAGGGGCAACAGCTGGATGTACACATGGGGCAACAGCTGGGTGTGCACATAGGGGCAACAGCTGGGTGTGCACATAGGGGCAACAGCTGGGTGTGCACATTGGGGCAACAGCTGGGTGTGTACACAGGGGCAACAGCTGGATGTGCACATTGGGGCAACAGCTGGGTGTGTACACAGGGGCAACAGCAGTATGTGCACATAGGGGCAACAGCTGGATGTGCACACAAGGGCAACAGCTGGGTGTGCATATAGGGGCAACAGCTGGATGTACACATGGGGCAACAGCTGGATGTGCACACAGGGGCAACAGCTGGGTGTGCACATAGGGGCAACAGCTGGATGTGCACATTGGGGCAACAGCTGGGTGTGTACACAGGGGCAACAGCAGTATGTGCACATAGGGGCAACAGCTGGATGTGCACACAGGGGCAACAGCTGGGTGTGCACATGGGGCAACAGCTGGGTGTGCACATTGGGGCAACAGCTGGATGTGCACATAGGGGCAACAGCTGGGTGTGCACATTGGGGCAACAGCTGGGTGTGCACATAGGGGCAACAGCTGGATGTGCACACAAGGGCAACAGCTGGGTGTGCATATAGGGGCAACAGCTGGATGTACACATGGGGCAACAGCTGGATGTGCACATTGGGGCAACAGCTGGGTGTGCACATGGGGCAACAGCTGGGTGTGCACATAGGGGCAACAGCTGGGTGTGCACATAGGGGCAACAGCTGGGTGTGCATATAGGGGCAACAGCTGGATGTGCACACAAGAGCAACAGCTGGATGTGCATATAGGGGCAACAGCTGGGTGTACACATAGGGGCAACAGCTGGATGTGCACATGGGGCAACAGCTGGGTGCGCATATAAGGGCAACAGCTGGATGGGCACGCAAGGATCATGCAGGCACTGGATGTGCATACAGGGGCATGGCACAGCTGGATACACCTAAAGGTGCAGGGCACAGCTGGATGGGCATGCAAGGGCAACAGCTGGATGGGCATGCAGGGGGGTGATACAGCTGGATGGGAGTTCAAGGGTCATGCAACAGCTGGATGTACATCCAAGGACAACAGTTGCATGTACATGCAGAGGCATGCAGCTGTTGGATGTGCATTCAAGGTCGTGGCACAGCTGGATGTGCCCATGGGGGTATGGCACAGCTGGATGAGCATTGTGAAGGTGGCCTGTGGTTGTGACCAGCACATCACAGGGTGGTGCTGGGGGGGTTCCCGAGGCTAGAGCACCCCCGTCCCTGTCCCCCATATGCCTGGGGCAAAGCTGGGATCGCTGCAGGGTGTCCTGGTGGCATCTCCCACCAGCTCAGCCCTACACAGCCCTGGCACCTTCTGCTGGGCACTGGGAAAAGTTGGCCAAACCCAGCTGAATTGAGCCAGGAACTTGAGGAAACCCATCCTGCACCGCACCACCACACTGAGCCCTGGTGTGTGTCCAGCCCTGCACACCCACCACCCACTTCTGCACCTCTGGCACACCCCCTGTGCAGCCAGGGCCAGTGGGGCTCCTCTGAGGGAGCAAAACCCCTCTTTGGACAGTGCTGGCTCTGTGAAGTGACCCTGAAGCAGGGAATCCTGGCACATCCCGGGGAGGGGAAGGAGCCTGGCAAGCGGCTGCGGGGGTATTTTGTACTCCAAGATCAATGGAAAGGGGGATTTGCGCTCTGTGGAGGATTGGATTTCCTTCCCCATCCCCACTCGGCAGCTCTCTCCCCTCTCCGGGAGGAAGACCGGATTAAACGTTTAATTTATGGGAGTGATGTTGTGCCAAAGGGAAAGAGATCCATGTGTCTGGAAACGCGCCCGAATGCACAACAGAGGAGGCTGCCTGGTTCCAATGAGCATCGCAGCCCGTGCAGGGGCCGTTTATCCACGCCGGGACCGAGCCCGGAGGCACAACCCGTCCTGTGGCACTTGTATTCCATTGTCAAAGGTTTCCAGCAGGGATGAAGCCGGAGGCCGCGTTTGGGCTGTGAGGAGAAGGAGCAGCAGATCCTGATGGGGACCCAGAGCCTGGTCCCTCACAGCCCTGACAGTGGGGATGTGATCCGATCCCATCTTATCTCTTCCCTTCCCCAGCAGGCTCATGTTCTTGGATCGGGAAGGCAGCAGCAATCCCTGGCCCGGAGAGGCCCAGTGCTGCCTCTGCTGCAGGAGCAACTTGGAACAACAGGGATCTTGCTGGCATGGCTTTATTCCCTGGATTAAACCACTAAGTTCATGATTTCTGGTATGAAAATCAAATCAGGGCAAGCAGGGAACAAAAATAAACGTTACAAGACTTTGGAAGAGAGGGGGAGTTCAGCACTGCAGCTTCTGGACCTTTTTCGGCTTATTTTTAAGGCAAAACACAGAGTCCGGGTTGAAACAGGCTCCCAAATCTGCTCCGGTTTTGATGTCCCAACATCTCCTTTTGCTGATGGGCGGTGCTGGGATGCAGAGGGACGGCAGGCTGAGCAGCAGTGGCTTTGCTCGCACCAGCGGGCTGGTTTCCTTCCTCGAAGGAAGCCATGAGCACAGCGGGACCACCGGGGCCACATCCTGCCGGTGCCCGCGACCGGGCACCGCTGCTACTCCGTGTCCGTTCTTGGACCGGCCCGGTAAAAACTGGGTTGAGGAAAAAAAGAGGTGGCCTCGTCCCTGGGTGGGCTCGAACCACCAACCTTTCGGTTAACAGCCGAACGCGCTAACCGATTGCGCCACAGAGACCGCGCTGCGAAGCCCTTCCGCGACCGCTGTACTCAACCCCACCGCCACCGGCACCGGCCTCGAGAACCGGCCACCGGTACCGGCACCAGGGTAGGGGGGGAATTGATCCCGACCGCAGCTGTGCGGAGCGGGGGAGACACCCGTGGGCGCAGGGCTCCGCAGAGCAGCCGCTACAGCGGGTGTACGGGACCGCCTCGGTCGCACCGAGAGCGGGCAGGACCCCGCGGGAGCGGCGGACACTGTGGCGCTTCCCGCTCCTCCATCCTTTCCTTTTTGTTTTCCCTTCCTTTTTTTTTATCCCCTCTTATTCCCCCCCCCCCCCCCCGCCCCTTCCCCCTTTTTCCCTCCTTTCCCATTCCTTTTTTTCCCTCTCATTTCCCTCTATTTTTCCTTCCATCCTTTTCCCCCTTCCCCCTTTTCCCCTCCTTTCCCATTCCTCTTTTTTACCCTCTCATTCCCCTCTATTTTTCCTTCCATCCTTTTCCCCCTTCCCCTTTTTCTCTCCTTTCACATTCCCCTGTTTCTTTCTCTCATTTCCATTTTTCCTTCCACCCCTCTTCTCCCTTTTTCCCTCCTTACCCATTCCTCTTTTTTTCCCTCTCATTCCCCTCTATTTTTCCTTCCATCCTTTTTCCCCCTTCCCCCTTTTTCCCTCCTTATCCATTCCCCTGTTTCTTTCTCTCATTCCCCTCTATTTTTCCTTCCATCCCTTTCCCTCCTTCCCTCCGCTTCCCCGCCTGCCGCGGGCCCTACCGAGCACCGGCCCGCACCGGCCCTCTCCCTTAGGATGCTCCCGCGGGACAAAACCGACCCGGGGAGGGGGTGTTGGGTGCTGGGGTGACACCAAACGCGGGGACCGGAGCTGCCGCCGGGGACACCCCCCCCCCAGCTCGACCTTGGGCCCGTTCCAGCGGCTTTTAGGGTGCAAGGACTTGGGGGGGGGCGGTGAAGGGATGGGGGGGGCGGAGCGGCGGGGGGGGGGGGGGGGGAGCCCCAATCTCGGCCCCTCACTCGCTTCCTCCGCAACACCCCGAAGGAATGAGGTCACGTGGGGCGGGGCGGGGCCTGGCGGCGGCTGGAGGAGGGAAAAAAAAAAAAATAAAAAAAAAAAAAAAAAAAAGGAGGAAAAAAATTAAAAAAAAAAAAAGAGGAGGAAGGAGGGGGAAAAAAAAAAGAAAACGGAAAAAAAAAAAAAAAAGAAAACGAGCAAGGAAAAAAAAAAGAAAAAAAGAAAAAAAAAAAAAAAAAAAAGGCCCCGTCCGCAGCGCGGAGCCGAACCGAGCCGGGAGCGGGGGGGCGGCCGCGGGGCCGCCGCTGCCGCCGCCACCAGGTAGGGACACGGCCCCGGTCCCCCCCCCCCACCGCCGCCGCCGCCGGGATCCCCCCCCCCCCTCCCGCTCCCCCCCCCCCCCTTCCCCCCCCCCCCGTGTCCTTTTCTCTCCGCGTTCAAGATGGCCGATGGCCGCCGCCGCCCCCCGCTTTGTGCCGCGGCCCCGCCGCTACCCATGATGGGGGCACCGGGACCCCCCCACCCCGCGGCGGGCACCGGTGAGGGGCTGCGGGGACCGGGCGGCCCCGGCTCCTTCCTTTGCCTCCCCCCCCCCCACACCCAACGCAGGGCCCAAACCGGGAAGGGGGGGGGGGGGGGGGGGAGCATCGGCGGGACCCCCCCCGGGGCGGGCGGAGGGGCCGGGCCGTGTCCCGGGGCGGGCTGTCAGGCGGCCCCGGGGTACAAAGGGCTGCGGGGCACCGGGAGCGCCTCAGCCCCGGTCCCAAACCGTGGGGTCTGTGCGTGTGTTCCGTTCCCCCCCCCCCCCGGTAAAGCGGAGCCGCGGCACGACCGGGCTGCAACCGGGGACCCCCGCGGCCACGCGTGTCCGTGCCCGGCGGGTGTCACGCACCGAGCGGGTCCCGCCGTTGGGCCCCGGTTTTGGGGGGGGGGGGCGCTGTCGGGGGTCTCCGGTTCACGCTCCGGTGCCTCCCGATCGCGTTCCCGGTGCGGGCAGTGCCGGGTGGGACGGTCCCGGTTCATTTCCCGTGCTCGCCGCCGCCGCCGGTGGGTCCCGCGGGGAGGGGGCGGCCGGTGGGGTCCAAGTTACCGGTGACTTTGGAGCGTCCTTCCCCACCCGTGCCTTGGGGGGGGGGGGGGGGGGGGGCACGGGGCAGAGCCACCGCCCACGGAGACAAAAGACCCCGAAAGCCCCGAAACCCTGAGGGGGACCCGCTCCGGTGTCGGGACGGGGCGGCCCCGAGGGCTCCGGTGCTGCGGCCGGTCCCGGTGCCTGGATGGGGGGGGGGGGGTGTGTGTGTGTGGAACCGGGGCTTTGTTCACCCCCACGGCAGGAAATCGCGGTTGTTATCGCCCGGTTCATTAGAACCGGTTTGCGCCGGTGGCTCGGGTTTCCCCCCCCCACAACCGCCGAGACCGGGGCGGCCATTGCGGGTACCGGGAGCGGCAAAATCCACCCAAAACGCAGCCGGTGCCCGGTCCCCTGTTGGGGGTCGGTGTGAAGCCGGGCACCGACAGCCCCCCCCCCCCCCCCCCCCAGCATTGGGCTGCCCCAAGGGAGATGAGCCGGGGGGGGGCTGGAGCTTCCCAGACACCCTGTGGGTCATGGGGCCCTCTCTGCAAGGGGACCACAGGGCTTGGCTTGTTCCGTGTCCCTCAGCACAGGGGACCCTGTGGATTCTCTGTCCCGGTCCCCATGGCATCCCATCCCTGAGCCTCTCCATCCTGGTCCCCATGGCATCCCATCCCTGCAGCCTCTCCATCCCGGTCCCCATGGCATCCCATCGCTGCAGCATCTCCATCCCGGTCCCTATGGCATCCCATCCCTGCAGCCTCTCCATCCCGGTCCCCATGGCATCCCATCGCTGCAGCATCTCCATCCCGGTCCCTATGGCATCCCATCCCTGAGCATCTCCATCCTGGTCCCCATGGCATCCCATTCCTGCAGCATCTCCATTCTGGTCCCTATGGCATCCCATCCCTGAGCCTCTCCATCCCGGTCCCCATGGCATCCCATCCCTGCAGCATCTCCATCCCAGTCCCTATGGCATCCCATCCCTGAGCCTCTCCATCCCCGTCCCCATGGCATCCCATCCCTGCAGCATCTCCATCCCGGTCCCTATGGTGTGCCATCCCTGCAGCATCTCCATCCCTGTCCCCATGGCATCCCATTCCTGCAGCATCTCCATCCCAGTCCCCAAGGCATCCCGTCCCTGCAACCTCTCCATCCTGGTCCCCATGGCATCCCATCCCTGAGCCTCTCCATCCTGGTCCCCATGGCATCCCATCGCTGCAGCATCTCCATCCTGATCCTCATGGCATCCCATCCCTGCAGCATCTCCATCCCGGTCCCTATGGCATCCTATCCCTGCAGCACCTCCATCCCGGTCCCCATGGCATCCCATCCCTGCAGCATCTCCATCCTGATCCTCATGGAATCCCATCCCTGGAGCACCTCCATCCCGGTCCCCATGGCATCCCATCCCTGCAACATCCCCATCCCTGCAACATCTCCATCCCGGACCCTGTGGCTTTTCCATCCCAATCGCCATGGTGTCCCCGTCCCTGCAGCATCCCCATCCCAGACACTGTGGCATTGCCATCCCTGCAGCATCTCCATCCCAGACACTGTGGCATCCCCATTCCTGCAGCATCCCCATCCCGGTCCCTATGGAATCTCCATCCTGGTCGCTGGGGTCCCCATCCCTGCCCAGCTGCTTCTGGGCACTCCATGGTGGCCAAATGAGATGAGAGACCCAGTCCGGAGCCCTGGGGAAGCACTGGGAGCACTGGGAGCCCGGGGGCAGCTTCCTCAGCCTCGCGTGGACCTGTACACACCGCTCCATGCACAGCCCTGAGCACCCCCCCAGACCCACAGCCTTGCACACCCCTGCACACCCTTACACACCCACACGTGCACCCCGCTGGCTCCCCGGCTGTGGGGTTCACCCCATCCTTTGGTGCTTCTGACTGTTGGCCGTTGGGTGTCAAGCGGCCCGTGACCCTGCCCCATAGCAGACCCCGTGCGAGCGCCCGTGTGGGGGTGTACACGTACACCCCTGCGTGTGTGTGTGTGTACATGCATCACGTGTGTACACAGGCCACACGTGTGCGTGTGTCTGCTCGCTGTGGGTGCGTGGGGTGTTGCTGTCATCGCAGCCGTGCACAAACCTGGGGGCTCTGTTCCCCTCTCGCCCTCGCCTCGCATGGGTGCAATCATGGCCCGGCCCCTCGCCAAGTATCAGGGTTGCCATGGAAACAATAAAACTGCAGTGATTTGAGGCTCCGGCTCCACTGTCTCCCGTTGTAAACGTGGAAGTGCCGGAGCGCACGGGCAGCGAAACAGAGCTATGCTGTGTGTACACGTGTGTGTGTGCGTACACGTGTGTGTGTGTGTGTACATGTGTGTGTGTGTGCGTACACATGTGTGTATGTGTGTGTACACGTGTGTGTGTGTGCGTACACATGTGTGTATGTGTGTGTACATGTGTGTGTGTGTGCGTACACATGTGTGTATGTGTGTGTACACGTGTGTGTGTGTGCGTACACATGTGTGTATGTGTGTGTACACGTGTGTGTGTACACGTGTGTGTGTGCGCATGTGTGTGTGTGCGTACACGTGTGTGTACACATGTGTGTGCGCATATGTGTGTGTACACGTGTGTGTGCACGTGTGCACGTGTGTGTACACGTGTGTGTGCACATGTGTGCATGTGTGTGTGCACGTGTGTGCATGTGTGTGTACATGTGTGTGTGCGTGTGTGTCTGTGCACACGTGTGTTTGTGCATGTGTGTGTGCGTGTGTGCACATGTGTGTGTGCGCGTGTGTGCGTGTGTGTACACGTGTGTGTGCGCGTGTGTGCATGTGTGCACATGTGTGCGTGTGTGTACATGTGTGTGTACACGTGTTTGCGTATGTGTGCACATGTGTGTGTGCACACGTGTGCGTGTGTATGCACATGTGTGCATGTGTGTACACGTGTGTGTATGCGTGTGTGCGTGTGTGTGCGTGAGTGCACATGTGTGCGTGGGTGTGCGTGTGTGTGCGCACATGGGTGTGCACATGTGTGTACGTGTGCGTGTGTGTGCACATGTGTGCGTGTGTGTGCGTGTGTGCACACATGTGTGTGCACGTGTGTGCATGTGTGAACACGTTTGTGTGTGTGCAAGTGTGTGTGTTCATAAGTGTGTGTGCACATGTGTGCGTGTGTGCATACGTGTGTGTGTGCCCACAAGTGTGTGCACATGAGTGCATGTGCACACGTGTGTACCCACGTGTGTGTGTGCACGTGTGTGTGCATGTGTGCACATGTGTGTGTGTGCCCACAAGTGTGTGTGCACATGTGTGTGTGCGTGCACAGGCAAGGACCTGGCTAATGGGTGCCTTGTCCCCTCTCCAAGGTGCCTTAGCCATAGCGGGACCCACTTGGGGACCCCCAGGGCGATGGAGCCATGGGGCAGAGGGAGCCGGGCTGCACAGGGTGGGCCCCACTGATCCCACCCTGACCCACTGAGGGGGTCCCGGGCTGTTTCCCTGCAGGGGGGATCCCTCGCGGAGCTGCTCCAAAATGCACAGGACCACCAGGATAAAGATCACCGAGCTCAACCCACACCTGATGTGCGCCCTGTGCGGCGGCTACTTCATCGACGCCACCACCATCGTGGAGTGCCTGCACTCCTGTGAGTGCCCCCGGCTGCACCCAGGGGCGCCCCAAGCCCCAGCAGGGGTGTTTGTGCCGCTCCGAGACGGTGCCCAAACCCATCCTGATGCTGCATGGAGCTGTGGGGTGATGGATGCGGGGCAGGGGTGCTGGCGGTGGGGGGCACAGGGGGGGCTCTGTGTGTTTCTCCATCCCCTCACACCGAGTCTCTCCCCGCAGTCTGCAAAACCTGCATCGTTCGCTACCTGGAGACGAACAAGTACTGCCCCATGTGTGATGTGCAAGTGCACAAAACCAGACCCCTCCTCAGCATCAGGTGAGCTCTGGGGGCTCAGCAGCCAACCCAGGGGGCACGGCCGTGGGGCTGAGCAGGGAGCAGTTGCGTTGCTCACGGTGTGAAAACTCCTTGCTCCTGGCCGTGCGCCCTGCTGCAGTGGGGATTCCGGGTGCTCTCCGGGTGGAGGGGGAATGGGGATGGTGGGAAATGGCACCATGGAGGGAATAGGAGTCAGGGACACCTGTGGGGCAGCAGGAGGTGGCTGGGGCAGGAGCCAGATGGTTGCCCTGTGCCCATGCCTGCACATCCCAGACCGCATCCATCCATCCATCCATCCATCCATGCATCCATCCATCCCTCCCTCCCTCTATCCATCCATCCATCCATCCATCCATCCATCCATCCATCCATCCATCCATCCATCCCTCTATCCATCCATCCATCCATCCATCCATCCATCCATCCCTCCATCCATCCATCCATCCATCCATCCCTCTATCCATCCATCCATCCATCCATCCATCCATCCATCCATCCATCCATCCATCCATCCATCCCTCCCTCCATCCATCCATCCATCCATCCATCCATCCATCCATCCATCCCTCTATCTATCCATCCATTCATCCATCCATCCATCCATCCATCCATCCATCCATCCATCCATCCCTCTATCTATCCATCCATGCATCCCTCTATCTATCCATCCATCATCCATCCCTCCATCCATCCCTCTATCCATCCCTCTATCCATCCATCCATCCCTCTATCCATCCATCCATCCCTATATCCATCCATCATCCCTCCATCCCTCCATCGATCCATCCATCCGTCCATCCGTCCATCCATCCATCCATCCATCCATCCATCCATCCATCCATCCCTCTATCCATCCATCCATCCCTCTATCCATCCATCATCCCTCCCTCCCTCCCTCCCTCCCTCCATCCATCCATCCATCCATCCATCCATCCATCCATCCATCCCTCTATCTATCCATCCATCCATCCCTCTATCTATCCATCCATCCCTCTATCCATCCATCCATCCATCCCTCCATCCATCCATCCATCCATCCATCCATCCATCCATCCATCCATCCATCCATCCATCCCTCCATCCCTCCCTCCCTCCCTCCATCCCGCAGTCCCACCATGCATACTTTAACCTGGGACCTTCCTGTGCTTTCTAACTCCCTTTTCTGTCCCCCGTGGGTGCTGTGTCCCCCGGGGGGGTACCAGCCTGGCAGTGCAGCAGTGCAGGTGCCTTCACACCAGCGTGCCCTGGCTGGGAAAAGCCAGACTCATCCTGCCTCAGTTGTGGAATTGGCTCTGCAGGTGGTTGGCATAGAAACCACGAAAGGCTGCAGTACATCACTGGGGTGGTTCTCTAGCCTCTGTGTTTTTAGCCTTTTCCATGTAAATCCGTTTCTGTAGTAACACTTTTTCTGCCTTTTCCTTTCTATTTTTTCCTGCTTCACTATGAAATATTTACACTCTGGCTCCTACTGCTCCCTCCCGGAAACACCCCTGTCTGCATGCAGAGATGGATCCCATCATGGTGCCCTGCCATGTCCTGCTGGGGGGCAATGTGGGGCACGTGTGGGCCTGGTCCAGATGCGATGCTATAGAGAAGTCTGTGCCCATCAGGGCCTCGCTTTCCCCTTTACTTCCCCAACCGGTGCCGTGGATGCTGTGCCCCATTTCCCCCGTGTCCTCCAGCCCCACACTGATGCTGCATGGGTCTGACTCCCCCCCTGGGCAGGCTCTGGCTGGTGATTGAGCTGCCAGGCCAGCAGCCGAGGCTGCTTTGCCATCAGCTGGCTGCAAATCATAAAGGGAACGCCCTGGGTACGTGCTGGAACTCAAATCACAGCGGGGGCCTCGTGTTGACATCACCCAGCACCGAGGGATGAAGGATGCGGCTGGGCTAACAACACTACAGGGTCTGGTCATTTGGTTTGCTTTAAAGGCCTGGCTCTTCCCATGGGAGCAATTGCAGACGTCCTTTACCTTCCACCATCCCCACGGCTCCTGCTTGGGTTGGGAGGTGATTTCCTTCCTGATTTGCCTGAGCTGTTGGGCTTCGGTTGCGCCGCATCCTCCTCCTGCAGCAGCCTGCGCCTGAGCCTTGAGTAAAGCCCCGCTCCCACCTCCATGCCTTGAGTTCCGTGGCTCCTCGAGTGCTTTACAAGCTCCTGCCTTGAGATGGTTGCGGTTTAGAGCCCGCTTTGTGCTCTCCCTGCCTTTGGATGCTGCCCTGCATCCCCCTTGGACGGAGGGGAGTCAAAGCCTGAGCCTGAACCGCAGCCGGCTCCAGAAGTAGACTGGGATGGAAACTCAGGCGTGCAGGGACGCTTGCTGATCCCTGTTAAGTTCTCCGTGTGGTGGTGTGGTTGTTTTGAGGGCTGGAACGGATCCTGGCCCCCGAATCCCACACATCTACAAGGAGTTTGGAGCTGTTTTTTTCTCTCTTTTCCCAGCTTGAACCCTTACAGTGAGCATGAGGCTGGATGGGTTTGAGCTGGGATCGCCATGGGTTGGGGAGTTGGGGCTCTATGCTGGGAGATGGGGGGAAATAGCATCCGGGCTGGCCTGGGGCAGCCCTGGAAGCAAACTGCTCCCTATTCCAGCTCATTTCCCCCTCTTTTCCTGTTTCTTTGCCCACCTCAGGTCGGACAAAACCCTTCAGGACATCGTGTACAAACTGGTCCCGGGGCTTTTCAAAGGTACCACCATGGCCGGTTATCATTGGGTGGGTCTGGGGTTGGTTGTAATTCAATCCCATCCACCAGTGAGGCTGGTCCCCACGCACCCCCCTATCCTTGGGGCTGGGACAGGAGGATAATGCTTGGTGTGAACAGACAGGGATGGCTCCATCCGGACAGCGCCCATCCGCTGCTGGGGGCAGCCACAAAGCAATGCTGGGAACCACTGCCCTCCTATGGGGTCCTATGGGCAGCCTGTGCTGGGGCTGCTGGTCGGGAGCAGGCACTCAGCACCCATCTCCCCTTGGTGTGGTGGTTTCCCCCTCACCTTCCTCCTCCCTTCTCCTGCAGATGAGATGAAGAGGAGGCGCGACTTCTATGCAGCCTACCCCGTGGCAGAGGGTGAGTGTCAGCCCCAGGGACCCCCAGCACCCCATCTGTGCCCCCCCACACCATGGCTCAGCCTCTCCCTCCCTCTGCCTCCTGCAGTTCCCAATGGGTCCAATGAGGATCGCGGGGAAGTCTCCGAGCAGGACAAAGGGAACCTGACAGATGATGAGATTGTCAGCCTGTCCATAGAGTTCTATGAAGGGTCAAGGTACCATTTTCTGGTTACTCCCAGTTTGGGGCTGTGAATGAGCTCTCACCTTTTCTTCCTGCTCCGGAGATGGAGCTGAGGTCATAGAATCACAGAATGGTTTGGGTGCTCCAAGTCCCTGTGTCCAACCTGGCCTTGAACTTGGGATGGAGCAGCCACAGCTTCTCTGGGCACCTCTGAGAGGTGAACTGGTGGTGGCTGACATGGCCCTGCATGGGGCCAAGTACCCCGGGATGCTTGAATGGCCAGAGGAGCACCCAAACCCCATCTGCCCTGGTCCTGCATCCTGCATCCTCTGTGGGTGCTTGCTGTGGCAGCGGCATCCCTGTATCCCCCGGTGGCAGAGCCCAAGGGCTGCCACATCCCCAGTCCCAGCGGTGGCCTCCAAGGATGTCAGCAGCATCCAGGGCAGTGGGATTCAGGGAATGTGGGTGCCTGGGCAGCGGTTGCAGCGCACGGGGTTGGAAATGGCAGCAACTGCGTGGGGGAAGCCAGAGCTTGGCTGAAGGTCATTGATGTTCCTCCTCCATGGACAGCCCTTCTAATGGGGTATTGTTTCTCCCTGCCTTTTAATTCCTTCCATAAACCTCATCCCGAGTTTTCTTTCCTTATCCCCCTAGAGAAGAGAAGAAGGGGAGCGTTGAGAACGGGGACCTGGAGAAGGAGAAGGTGAGCGTGGTGGGACCACTGTGTCCGGCTGCCTCCGGGGCTTTTGGGGTGGGGAGGGAAGAGGGAGATGGGAGCTGCCCATTTACTTGCACGTGGACTCAGCAAGGCCTCTCGGTCCCCAGAAGAACGGGCTGCGGTTCCTGCGCTGCCCGGCTGCCATGACTGTCATGCACTTGGCCAAGTTCCTCCGCAACAAGATGGATGTTCCCAGCAAGTACAAGGTGAGCTCGGGCTTGGGATGCGCTCCGGTGGGCTCGGAGGAAGGGGGATGCTGTTTGGCTGCATCCTCTGCTAACACGTTCACCGTGCTTCGCTTGCTCTGCTTTGTGCAGCCCAGGCTTTGCAGCCCCACATCTCAAAGGGATCAGGCCTTTATTGTGGGTCCTGTCTCAATGGGGATGCTCCTCCAGCCAAAGCAGGGCTGGAGCTCCAGCAGCACCCTTGGGGATGGCAGAGCCCAATGAGCTGCTCTGGGCTGGGGGGGGGCTCGTGGTGCCTCTGTCCCCATGCCGAAGGATTGACCCTGTCCCCTGCCCCAGGTTGAAGTCCTCTATGAAGATGAGCCCCTGAAGGAGTATTACACCCTGATGGACATCGCCTACATCTATCCCTGGAGGAGGGTAAGCGCAGTTGCCTCTTTCCCTGCTATGGGGATGGGCACTGGGGGGGCTTGTGTTGGAGGAAAGCTTGGACATGCAGTCCTCGAGGGGAGGGCTGAGGGCATGGGGAAGCGTCAGCATGGAAGGAGTTAGGAACTGAAGAACTTCAAAATGGAAAAGCTTCAAAATTGAAGAGCTTTAAAATTGAACTTAAAAAACTGAAGAACTTCAACATTAAAGTTGAAGAGCTTTAAAATCGAAGAGCTTTAAAATTGAACTTAAAAAATTGAAGAACTTCAACATTAAAGAGCTTTAAAATTGAAGAACTTTGGAACTGAAAAGCTTAAGAATCAGAGCTCAAAACTTGGGGCACTTCCGTGCATAAACCCCACGAGCTTTTCCTTGCAAAGGTGTTTGCTCCTGATGGGCTTTCTAGGAGGATGCGGGATGCTGCTCACGCTTCTCTCCCTGTATCCCCAGGGCAGGCTGGAGGGCTGGTGCCCATCGGCAGTGCCGCAGGGTGCCGGGTACCACCCCTCTCCCCCTTTTCCCCCCCCCTCCCTTGCAGAACGGCCCCTTACCCCTGAAGTACCGCGTCCAACCGACCTGCAAGCGGCTCAAGCTCTCCCAACCCATCACCCCCGAGGGCACCAACACCAGCGGCGCCTCCGAGTGCGAGTCGCTCAGCGACAAAGCCCACAGCCCGGCCACGCTGCCGGCCACCTCCTCCTCCCTGCCCAGCCCGGCCACCCCATCCCACGGCTCCCCCAGCTCCACCGGCACCGGCCCCGCGCTCAACGGCTCCTCGAACTGCCACCCGCCGCCCGCCGCCCGCTGCCGCAAAGCGACTGTCAACGGCAGCACGGCCTCGGCCTTGACCTAAAGCAGCGGGCGGACAGGGGACTCCTGGCTGGCTTTTCTAGAGCTCTATATATTATATATATATACCTATAGATGTGGACAGAGGGAGAACGACGAACGGAAGCGAAACAAGACAAATTATACGTACTTATTTTCTACCGAGCGACCGGATTAATTTAAAGTGCAAATACGACGCATAAAGGTGGTGGAATATTTTTAAATGATTTTTTTTCTTTTCCTTCCCCCCCCCACCTCCTTTTTCCCTTTCCTTTTCCTTTGGGTTTCACTGATGTAGCTGCATGCCAGAGCTGGGAGCCGCTGCTGCCTTCCTTGCTCAGTTTCTCTGCCACTTTTCCCTCTCCTCCCCATCCCTCTCCCCTCCATGGGGCAGGGGCACACTCGCAGCTGCACAGGTAAGGGTGAAGCACAGGTAAAGGCCAAGCACAGAAGCCAAAAACTGCCCCTCCATCCCCCCCCATGCCCTGTGGTTTATTGCTGTGTTTGTGTTTGTTTCTGGTTTTAGCCCCAGGTTTGATAACGGGCTGCCCCGGCTCCATTGGTTGGCATTGAGCATCGCTTGCCGGCCTTGCCCCCACCTTGGCTTTGCCTTGCCCAGCGCCTCCCTGTTCCTTTATCTGCTCTTCCCATGCGGTCTCTGGATGGAGGTTCAGGCTCTGCCCTCGTGAAGCCTCATGCAGACGCTCCCCTTCATGCACAGTAAGTAGGGTGGGTGGTGTAGTGCCAGCGACAAAGGGCAGGAGCACAAGGTCCACTAGATACTGGTGTCTCCTCCTTGGTACCAGCACCGATTCTGGTCTAAACCACTGGGGGCTGTTTTGGCAGCGCTGGATGAGTCTTTGTGGGACCCAGGGGCTTCAAAGCACCCCACAAGTGGCTCCCCACAGCTTCAACGCTGCATTTCAAAGCTTTTCTTTGCGTTCTCCCCCTTGCTCTCATCCTTCCCCCCCTCTCCTCCTTCCCCCCCCCCCCCCCCCATTGGGTTTTTAAATAGAGAAACTATAGAGTACAGTGCCTTTAGCCAGGAGGCTTCGGTGAGGGGCAATGGTGGGAAGGTGCTGCCGTGCATTGGGTGGCAGCCCCGCAATGGACCAACGTTCTACATGGACCATATAAAGCACACGAGCCCCAGGAGCACAGAGCCAAGGGGGGGGGGGTTTATTCCTGCCCTTGCTGGGGAGGGGGACATAAACCAAGCAAGTGCCTGCAGCACCCAGCCAGCACCCCCACAGCGGCACAGCGAGGACCAAAGGCAAAGCGGCACGGGAATTGTCTGAACAGCCCCATTCCAAAGGTCAGGAAATGTGGGATGTCGTCAGCGTGTTTCTTAATTATTGTTATCCTTTAATTCATCTGTTGGAAGCACTGCACCCCCAGCACGGCTGGGACAGCAGCACCATTGCTGCAGCCCAGCCCCGGGGCTCCGGGCACTGGGAATGGGTTTGGGAAGGGTCCCCAGTGGGGCCTCTTCTGTTCCTCTCCCCCATCCCCAAGCTGGGGCTGGACGAGGGGCTCGAAGCGTGTTGGGGGGGCTCTGTTTGTCTCGACTTTGACACCCCTTTTCTCCTTGTAAATAGGTCAGAATGGACCGAGGGAGGCAGCTGAGGTGCCTCGGTCAGGGTCTGTTGGGGGGCTTGGGGCGGGGGGGGTGTTTTGTTTTCTGTTCTTTCCTATATGGTACAAACCAAACTGCTCTGTATGTCTGCATCCTGTACGACGTTTTAATGTCTTGTAATATATTCGGATATTCATATATTGTTATTGGTTAAACATTTGTATAACTATACAGCTTTGTAAATGTAATAAATGCTGCAGAACTGTCGTTCCCTCCATCCGCCTGCACAACTGCAGGCACCCGGTTCCTCTGTCCTGCATCCTGCAACCCCAGGGCTTGGTTTAATGATGAGCTGCATGAGAGGATCAAGTGCACACTCAGTCGGGTGAGAGCGTTTGACGTGCCGGAGGGGAGGAAGGCTCTGTGCAGGGATCTGGATCAATGGGGCTGATTGCACGAGGTTCAATATGGCTCAGTGCTAGGCAATGGCTGGATGTGATGGTTTTAAAGGTCTTTTCCAACCTGGCTGATTCAATGAAAACCACTCCGGGAAGTCCCGTTATCCACTGGGTTATTCCTCAGTGGGGCTGAAGGCAAAGCTGCTGCCCCCTCTCAGCCGTCGGTTACGGTGGGAGCTCAGCATCTCCTCCCGTTTACCCACACACCGAGCATCCCGGCGGCCCCGAGCCGGGCGCGGTGCAGGGGGTCAGGGCCGGGGGGGCAGCGAGGCCCCTTGCACCGCCTCCCCTTTGTGGGTGCCGTCGCAGTACGGGGGGGTCCGGGTGCGTTTGCAGCCGCAGAGCCAGACCCGCGCGTCCTCCTCGGGGGTGAAGCGCAGCGGGGACAGCCCCGGCGCCGCCGTCTTGTGGGCGCCGTCGCAGAAAGGCTGCGAAGCGAAGCGGGGGGTGGGATCAGAGCAGGGGGCTTTGCCCACACCGAGACACACACACCCCCCCCCCCCCAAAACCGCCTCCCTGCGTCCCCATCCCGGACCTGGCGCTTGCTGTGCCCGCAGGAGCACCACGCGTACGTCCTGCCCGCCTTCAGCTCCACCGCGAACGGCTCCTTAGCGGCGATCACCGCTTGCGGCGAGCCCGAGCTCCTCCGCAGCGCGGGGATGCGAGACCCGACCGCGGGGTCCCGGCACCGGCGGAGCCCCCCCTCCGCCGCCGCTCTCACCAGCGCCAGCAGCCGCATGGCCCCGGTCACCTCCACCGGCAGCGGCTCCTCCTCCTCCCGGCGCCGCCGGAAGAGCCGGGGCGGGCTCGGCGGAAGGTTCCTCCGTGTCCCGGTGGATGCCGCAGCTCCGGGTTCCCCCCCCCCCCCCCCATCGGGGAGCCCGGTCCAGGCCCGTCGGTGTCCCCCCGTTTCCCTCCTATCCCCTTCCGCAGGTGGGGGGGGTTCGCCCCAGCCCCCGGCCCCGTGGAGCTGCAGGCGGTGGGGGGGGCTGTCCCCCTGCTCCCCTGGAAGTTCGTCTTCCCAGCACCGAAGGTTTGGGGTCCCCCCCTTTGTAGACATTGAAGTATTGGGAAATGCAGCGTATTTGACAGAGGGAATGAGTTGGGGGGGGGGGCACCCCAGGGGCAGCCGTGTGGGGGTCCCACGGTGCCAGCTCCCACCATTCCAGTGCAGTGGGAATGCTCCCAGCATCCCTCAGGGACATGCAAAGCCGTGCTTTAACCAAGGAGGTTGTAAATCCTCTGTGCAGCGTCACTCGCTTCCCTCAACCTGTCAGCACCTCTGAGCTGCTCCTTGGAGCCCTGAAATACGGACGAGAAGATTCCTGTTTCCACAGGTACCGTGCCTTGTTCCTGGCAAAATTCTCCTCTTTCCACTGCTTGGGTCTTGGAGGCGTTTCTGTTCCTGCTTTGCATGGATGGAGATTGGAGAGACGTGAGAGGAAGGTGCTCCTTTTGTGCCTGAGGAGCATCCCCTTGGACCAGGATAACGGCAGAATCATCCATAGCAAGTACAGGAAACGTGGCTGTTGGAGCAATCCTGTGCAGGTCCCGCTCCAGGTCTCTCCCAGCTGGTCACCAGTGTCCCCTGTATGAGTGGGGGGCTCCCTCAGCCCTGGATGGACTCTGTCTGCATCCAGTTCTCTGCTTCCCCACATGCTCTGGCCATGGGGTAGTGGCCCCAGTGGGACAGGGCTGGCTCAGGCTCTGGCACCATGGATGCAGATGGCTTGAACCCCCTTGTCTGCTCCTAAGACAGTGTGGACATAGACGAGGTCTCCCATGCTCAGGAGCAGACTCCAGGGGAGACACAGAATCAGAAGAGTTACTGAGCAGATACAGATACCAATATATATAGATATCAATATAGATACTGATATAGATATAGACATCATATATCATGTATCTATAGATACATATATAGATGCCAATATAGATATAGACATCATCTATATCTATAGATACATATATAGATGCCAATATAGATATAGACATCATCTATATCTATAGATACATATATAGATGCCAATATAGATATAGACATCATCTGTATCTATAGATACATATATAGATGCCAATATAGATATAGACATCATCTATATCTATAGATACATAGATGCCAATATAGATATAGACATCATCTATATCTATAGATACATATATAGATGCCACTATAGATATCATATATCTATAGATACATATATAGATACCAATATAGATACAGACATCATATATCATATAGATATAGACACCGAGCAGATGCTGTCATTCTCCTTGGGTGCACTGTTCAGGCTGGCTGGCAGGGGGAGAGGTGATGGACGCAGCTGGATGCAGCCGCGGTCCCTTGGGAGCTCGGAACAAGCAGCAGTTGTTGGCTGTGACCAGAGCATTAGCACTGGGGCACAGGAGCTTTCCTGCTGCTGTGGAGAGCTGGGGAAGGGGATGTGCCTGGGGGCTGCTCCATTCAGTGCGAGTCCATCCCTTGGGCTCCAGGGTCCTGCCTGGAGTAGAGCACAGCCACGGCCAGCAGCAGCACCACTCGCTCCAGAAACCATCACAGAATCCCAGCCTGGTTTGGGTTGGAAGGGACCTCAAAGCTCCTCCAGCTCCAACCCCTGCCACAGGCAGGGACCCCTTCCATAGAGCAGCTTGCTCCAAGCCCCTGTGTCCAACCTGGCCTTGAGCACTGCCAGGGATGGGGCAGCCACAGCTTCTCTGGGCCAGTGTTTGGGGCATCTCAGCACAAGGAACTGGTACTGGGGGGGGGGGACGTTTTGCTAATGAACAACCACCTTGTTCGTGTCTCCATCCCCTCCCCAGGGGCAAATCCATGCAGGAGCCAGGCAGCTTCCCTGAGCATCCCATCAGTGCAGGCAGCAGGACCCCAGCCCTGCCACAGGACCTCGAACCACACGGACCCCATCACATTTCCATTTTGAAACCTCAGCTGTATTCAAAGAGTCTTTGGCATTAATATTAATATTATTTATTATAATAAAGAACAGTCAAGCAGCGTGAAAAAAATATATCTTAGCTACATTACCTTAAATTGCCAAAAATATACACATTTTTTCTCTTTTATTCAATAAAAAAAACCCAAATCAGAACAAAAAGGACACATGCAACATACTAAATGAGACATTAGCATCAAAACGGGTAAAGAAACATACCCCAGTGCAACTGAAACACAGATAATCTTTAGCTTTTAGTTTCTCTTTCCCCTGCTCGCCCTCTTTTTCACAGAGATAATGGTTGATGTTGACCTCCTCCTCCGTCTTGAAAAGGGATGGGGGCAGGTTGAGGGGCTGAGGTGAGGATGTGCCAAAGGGACCGGGCGCCTTTGGAAGCTGTCAGGGAATAAGTGCTCTATGTCTGGATGTCTCTTCCTCTCCATCCTCATCCCTCCCTGCTCCACGAGCGGCTTCGCCCTCAAACTCCTGCCATCACCAGCCCATCCCTGGCACAGGGAGCACAAAGCAGGGATGCGGGACACGAGGCGGCTCAGCCCTCCCTGCCTTTGACAGCGCTCCTGCCATCAGTGAAATTCCTGGAATTCAGCCCTTGATTCCCAAGCTGCTCCATTATTTTCCCTGTGCAGCAAGTTTCCTGACTCCAAACTCACTGCTAAGTACCTGCCATTGAGTTTTCTCTTGTCCCCCAAGGATTTGGGCACCAAAGCTCTGATCTGAACATGGGTTTTGCTCATCCTGGGAGGCAACACACGTTGTACCATGACTCGCTCCACAAGGGATGGATGCTCCTCAGCCTTCCTGCCTTCCCGTCCCCTCTCTTCCTGGTACCGATTCCAGGGTGAGGAATCCATCACCTTGCTGACCCCAATCAGCATTAAGGAATGGCTGTCCCCAAATCCCAAGGACCTGTTGCTTGCCAAAGGTTGCCTGGTGCAGCCTTCACGTGGATGCAGCCATCCCGCACACAACCAGGGATGCTCTGCTTGCTGCTTTCAAGCCCAAGACTCCCCACACGGAGGGGGCAGCAAGGAAGGAGCCCCACGGTGGGAGAGATCCCACAATAGAGCAGAGGGTCCTTGTTGGGGGGTGTTGGGCCACCTCTGCTTGCAGAGGGGATGGGGAACACCACAGCGAGGGGAGGAAAAGAGAGAATATAAGTGCAAGGACACAGTTGTGCCGGAGCAATTCCAGGGACAAGGAGCCAAAGAGTTGAACCATTTGCAGCTGAAAGATGGTGGTTTCTCAGTGCTGGGCTTTTCCACTTTTAGCTGCCATCTCCATCTTCCCAGTAGCTTCTTAACCTTGTTAAAACATTAGCTTTTCTTTATAGATATATAAAAAAAGCTATATATATATATAATATATATATATTTCTGAGCAGACAGCAGCGTTCTGCCCAGTTCACAGAACTGGAGGCTGAGATCAGAAGGGGATTTGTTCTCCTCTAAGCCTTATCCAACCATCGCCGTGACAATCTTCCAAGGAAACACAAAAAGAAGAAGTAAAAGAAAGCTATTCAGCAGATGGGGGGGGTTGCTATAACAAACTTTTCCTGTCCTATCAGCACAGCCCCACTGCTGACAAGTGTGAATAGTGCAAACGAAGTGAAGAGGCAGTGGGAATGTGCTGAGAAATATCCATAGCCATTCCTATGAGCTGGAATCTTCCCGCCTGCCCCCAGGAGCTCTGGATGGAACCAGGGGGTGATGAGGAGGAGGAGAAGGGGCGCTTGTACGTTTGACGCCGATGCTCCCCTTCCTCCAGAGCCGCCCCACTCCATCCTTGCGTGAATCCATCGCATCCAAGCTCAGAGGGAGCCCATTTCTTTGCTGAGGTTTCCAGGCTGCAAGATGGAGTTAAGGTTAAAAGGTGGAGAACAACGAAGGCTCCGCTGGCCTAGCTCAGGGTTGCTTGGAGATCCCTCTTCAAGTGCCCAGGACCAGTGGAAGAACGTGGGTTTGCCAGCCTGGAATGGTTTGTGGTGCGCAGGAAAGAGCAGGGACCGGACTGGGGACTCTCTCTTCTCCGCACGCGTTTCTACCTCCCAGCTTCAGGCTGGGGAAGAGCCGCCGGGTTCAAATGCACCTCCCGAAGTTGGCTATGAGAGGGGTCACAGTGGCTACGAGCCCCTTTGCCAGCTGGAATTTTAGCCTTTGGAGCCGTTGGAAGAGCAAGAGCCAGCACAAGGAGCAGGAGTGTGCTTTTCACGTGGTACGGCACAGCACGGAACCCCGAGCAGCTGGCGGAGCAGATGTGGCAACGTCCTTTAAGGAAGCAGGTGGCTTTCACCTCCCCAAGCACTGGTCCTTACCCATTGCTCCACCACCCGTGTCTTTGCAGGCTGCGTCTGGATCCAGCTGAGGCGTTGGGACTCCACGTGATGGCTCCAGAGAGAAGAGCATCTTCAGAGCCCAGCGGATGAGAAGCAGGTGAGGAATCTCAGCTAGAGGATCCCTTCACATCCCCGCCGGGGCGAAGCAGAGCACGTGGGCACTGCCACCACGTCTCCAGTGCTGCTTCCGAGGGTATTGCAGAAAGGAGCCTCCTTCCACCACGGCCTTCGGCCAAGGATGCTCCATGGTCTCTTAGCGCCTTGGCCTCTGGGAGGGGAAGGGGGGTTAACACACGTGAACACACACTGGTGCTCAGCAGGGATCTGGGGTTAACTCCCTCCTCCGCTCTGCACGGGAACACAGCTTCGCCTTGAGCACGCGTGGCACGGCCCAGGGACCTTCCCTCCTCGTGACGCCAGGGCTCCATCAGAGATGTTCCGTCTTCCAAAGCACCTCTTGGCATTGCCCAGCGGCAGGAAACGCTCCGTGGAAGCCTTGTGCTCATTGCTCTAACAGTATCAAGGTTGACAGTGGAAAGCCACATTCCTCTGGCTGAGAGAGGAGTTGGCTGCTGGTTTGTTCGGGGCGAGGGGGGGAGCTTAGCCCTTGTCCTGGGTAAGAGGAGCTCCCTTTTCATTCATGCTCTTTAAAAACAAACAGAAAAGAGACGCAGAGGAGACAGGTATCAGTACCGGAGGGGCAGCAACCCTGGCCCTGGCCCTGCTCACCGCGACCTCTCGGGCTCCTCTGACACCAATGGAGACGTGGGTTCCCCCTCTGCCCAGTTCAGACCAAACGGGCCCCTTAACCCTGGCCTTTGGCTCCTAAACGTCTCCAACCAGGGCTGGACCTTCTGGGTACAGGCAGAGGCCAGGGGAGGGATGGAGATGACAGCATCACGCCATCAGTCCCTAGGCACTGGTGTTCCAGTACAAGGCTGCTTTACAGAGAGGCTGTAAACCTCGTCACCACCTCTCCTCTTGGGTGCAAGATTCCTCCTAAACCCTGGGCTTCAACATGCAGTCACCTTCGTCTTTCATCACGAGGCTCCAATAGGGCCAGCACTGCCAGGGGGCACATTGTCCCATCCGGGTCTCATGGCACATCTGTCCCATCCCTGTGTCAGATGGCACATCTGTCCCATCTCTGAGGCACGTCTGGCATGTGTCTGCACACACACACACACATGGAAAGGCACCTCGGGAGCCTCTGTGCCTGCCCATGACCCTGCCTGGGCCCTACAAGAGTCCTTGGAGGTAGGATCGGGACGTGACACCGGCTAGGCAGTGTGGAGCATCCTGGCTCTGTGCCTATGTGGTGCCCTTGCTCCCCCAAGTGCAGACTGGCTCTCCCCGGGTCTGTACAGCACCCAGCACCAGGAGCTCAGTGGGGTTAGGGGAGTGCTAGCAGCATACGCACCGTTCCTTTCGGGGTGTTGCCATCAGCCTGCAGGTTGAGAAACGGGTTAGTCTGTGCTGTAAGGACTGGTGGGATGCCCGTTCCCGAAGCCAGGAGGCTGCTCCCAGGAGTGCTGAGCGGCGGGGTGGCCTGGGGGGCCAGGAGGGCATTGCTAGGGTTGAGCTGCTGTGGGGAGAGGGAGGCCATGAGAGAGCTGCTGTGGGGTGGCTGTGGGGCCGAGGTCATCAGGGCGCTGGTGCTGGAGTGCAGGGGGGCAGAGGTGGCTGCCAGGAGGCTGGTCATGGACAGCTGGGATGAGCTGCTCATCTGCAGCCGCTGCAGCTCCCTCTTCTGCTGGATTTGCTGCATCATCTGGAACACCAGGGCCTGCTGCTCCTGCGGGGAAGGGTGAGGAAGAGAAGTCAATGGGAGGGAGAAAGGGCTCAGGGAGAGAGGTGACACCTAACACAAAGGAGCCAGGAGCCACATGGGGCACGCTCCATCCTAGGCGATGCTACTGGGGACAGGGAAGAAGTCCCCTTGATTACATCTCTATAGGTAGAGAGAGGAACAGTGTCTCGTGTTCATTGACAGCCTGTGCTTATGACCCTTCCAACCCCATTACTTCCTGAAGCATAGGATTAGCTGACCCTCACCGGGACACCTGCAGGCACACAGATCCGCTCCCTCCTTCCAATGCATCAACCCACCCATGGACTGTGGTATTCACTGTCCTCAGTCTCCTTCCCCAGCCTGTCCTGCTGCACGGCTCAGCCCTGACACACAGGGTCAGCGTAGGTGAGCTGGGCTCGGGGCAGGGGGGGGAACAAGGGCCACAGCTCCCCTGCACCCAGAGGGATGCCCTCGTATCCAACCCAACTGTGCCATCACCATAGCAACCATCGACCGATGCTGCGGGCTGAGAGCTGACATTGTTCCTGTACCCACAGGGATGCAGCTGATGACACGGTGACATCAGCTGCTCTAAAGAGAAGCCCTTTCAAATCTGCTTGGCCTGCGTTATAAATAGCCTGACCCAGAAACCTATCCAAAGCAACGGGCCAAGCTGATGGGACAGCTGAATGAGCACTGCTTCACTGACAGGAGCTGTTAGCACCCCCAGGCAGCTCCACCGCAGGGCAGGGACAACACAGAGGCTTCTGCAGGCCAGGTGAATGTGGGCTTTACATGCTCAGGGGCTTGTTTAGCATGGATCCAAGCAGCCATTCCCGCAACAGCCATGGATGGAGCTGCTGTTCCACCCAAGAGGATGCAGGCAGAGAGCCAAGATCCTCAGAACAGCCGCCTTGATCCTTGTTGTGACCCCAGTGTTCAGCCACCTACACATTCCCCTTGGCATCTCCAAGTCTATGTGCCCAGACAGAGCTCCCTGCCTCAGGACTGAGCAATTTGGTGCTTATCTCGTTTGAATCTCAAGCAGTGTCCTCAAGCGAGTTCTTCTTCTCCTGTGGGCCCCAGCACATCTGTGAGCCCAGAGACCTGCGTGCCGGCGGCACAGGAGCAGGCACGATTTGCATTCAAAGGTGCCGGAGGAGCCAACAGCCCTCCTGGGTTTACGGTGCTTGGGTTTACCATGTGCTCCTCGCCTTGGGATGTGGGGAACCCGGACTGGAGCTTTGCCTTGGTACAAAGAAACGCTCATCCCCCTCCCTCCTGCGGGAGGTGCCGCACCTTCCTGCCTAAAGCTTCTCCCCTCCCTCCTTGGTTGGGGAAGGCAGAGGATGCTGCAGCCCTGCGGGGCAGGGGACTCACGCGAAGGAGGGAGCTCCTCGGCTCTCTGCCCCGAGGCTTTCCCATTAAGGGGCTCATCAGCCGGATGGGGCCCCCAAAGGCACACTTACCGGGTTAAGCGGCTGGGAAGTCAGGAGCTGCTGGAGCTGCTGGAGCTGCTGCTCGTGTTGGTGCAGGACGTGCCGCTGCTGCTCGGTCAGGGGGCTCACGCTGCAAGGGGAGCAGGGCAGGGAAGGTGAGTGCCGCCCGGCCTTGGTCCTGCATCCATAGGGATTCCCTCCCGGTGCTAAGCGTGTGCTGGAGAGGGCAGGGCTGTCCCCGCGAGCTCCGTCCTCACCTGCTCAGGCTGGTGGAGAGCTGCAGGGTCGGCGGCCCGCTGGCCTGCGGCAGCGCGCTCGGAGGCTGGGCAGCCTGAGCTCCGTTCAGGTTCCCCAGGATCCCGTTGATGGGCATCTGCTGACCTCCTGCCAGGGTCCCCATCAGGCCGTCCACCATGGGCACCGTGGAGAGGCTGTGGCTGGCAGTGGGGCCACCCCCCAGCCCGCTGCCTGCCACCCTGGCCAGGCCATTCACCTGCTGCACCCCGGGCAGGGGTAGCGAGGCAGGACTCTGCTGCAGCATGGGCAGGGGTGGAGGAGTGCTGTGGAAGGACAGGGAAGAGCTGCTCCTGCTGGGGCAACCTGAATGAGGGTCCTGGGGGAGAAACGGACACAAGAGCATCGGACTGGGGCAGCTTGTGAAAGGTCAGCTCAGCTCCAAAGGGCAGGAGCTGGAGGTGGGAAAAGGTGGTGGTGGGGGGGGTGCTGTGAGTGCAAGCGCAGGTGTATGCTCAGAGGCATCCCAGAACTCAGATATGCTTTGCTGGAGCTCTAGAAGCGCAGCCAGAATAACCCAGAAGCATCCTCACCTCGCGCTCCCAGTCTCAGCTACTCAACACAGACCCTCAGCACTGAGATGAACTGAAGGACGGGCACTCCAGAGGAAGAAACCTGATTGCTGGGCCTGGACTATGAGGCTTTATTTGCTGGCTATCAAAGCAGAGCACTGGGACTGCACTGCTCTGCTCCCTCCCCAGGCCCCTTCCCCAGCTGGCTGGTGGATGTGGCGGCCAGTGTACCTCAGAGGAAGTGGAGAGCGAGTTCTCGATCCCAAAGCTGTTCTTGCAAGGGGGGCTCTTGCTGATGCTCAGGGAGTCGTTGTTGCACACTGTAAGGAGGAGAGAAGTGAGGATGCTGAGTCAGGGGAGGAGCCGGAGGTTGCCACAGCAATAGCAAAGGACAGTGGCTATAGAGAAAGAAATGGGTCACAGCCACCCCACCGCCACCCCTCCTGCCCACCCCAGGGCACTGTGATGGAAGGGCACAGGGTGATGCACCCCACTGGTCCCCTCACCGTTGGGAGGCAGGATGTACTGGGCCTGGCTGCCTGGGCCATTGCTGGTGGTCACCACGGGGAAAGGGACGGAGAGCTGGACATTGAGGAGCTGCAAACGCTCCTTCTTGGCTGTCAGGGTCATGATCTGCTCCTGGAGCCGCTGGTTCTCCTTCTGCAGCGAGTGCAGGGCTTTCAGCATCTCTACAACTGCAGGGATGGCAGGGGGGAAGAGGGACAGGGTCAGGGGAGGGAAGAGGGGAAGGGGATCCACAGGAGGTAACGCAGTTAGTCCACCCTGGGGGAGGAGACTGGCACCAGATCCCAGCCCCACTGCCAGCTACTCCCCCATGGCACAGCCTGGTGCTTTGTCCCCCACCCGGCTCCTTTGCCCAGCTGGCTCCCACACAACCATGCCCCAGGCCCTCTCCTCCCGCAGCCTATGCCCCAAGTGACTCACTGTTCACGCCGGCTTCCCCGTTGCCCTGCTTCTCCAGGAGCTGCTCGATGTTTGGGGTGGCCTGGGGAACATTCTCCAGCTGCCCACTGCTGCTACAGGACACCGTCTGGTCGAAGAGGGTGGGCAGGCTGCTGATGGGGGACCTGGGGAAAGGGGTGGGGAGATGTCAGAGGTGCTTCCCTCATCTGCACCTTCTCCCCACATCTCTTCTGCCTCGCGCTGGGAGTGGCTGCATCCCCCCAGCCTCAAGTGGAGCGGAGGAGAACCCTCCATTCCTGCCAGCCCCGGCTCGTATGAGCAAAGCAAACCTGCCTCTTCCCATCCCATCCCCAGCCTAAACGAGAAGGGAAGGAGCTGCCTCTACTTCCCGCAGCCTCTCTCCCCTTCCTTGCTGTGTCATCCCACGCTTGCCGGGGTACCGCCGTGCAGATGCGGATGCACGTTTGGATGCGGCTGCACGTTTGGATGCGGATGCAGCTTTGGATGCGGATGCAGCTTTGGATGCGGATTCCCCCCGGTGCCTGCCCTCTCCTCAAGGACACTCACATGGACGAGAGACTCTCCTGGGGCGACGTCCCTCGGCAGCCGAAACTGCAGTCCTCCAGGTCGGGCTCTGCGTGGGGAGAAGGACACAGAGGGACCCGGTTCATAGGCGCCCGGCCCCGCGCAAGGGCCCGCTCCGGTACCCGGGGGCGCCGGGCCCCGCTAGATGGGAGCACCGAGCAGCGCAGGCAGCGGCACTGCGGCACGGCTCCGCCCCGGGGCGGGGCGGCTGTCACCGGCACACGGCCCGGACGAGGGGGGGGGCACCTCGGGAAGGTCACCCCCGACACCCCCCCCCCCCAGCCCTTGTTTTCCTTGGGGAACCGGGGAAGGAACCGGCCCCTGCCCCAGCCCCGGCTCCCTCCCGCGCCGCGGAAACCGCGCAAAAAAGCGGCTTTTACGGGCTCAACTTCGATGGGGTTTGACATTTCCTTCACCGTGAGAGCGAGGAGAGACCTGAGAGCAGCTCCAGTGCCTGAAGGGGCTGCAGGGAAGCTGGAGAGGGGCTTGGGACAAGGGGAATGGCTTGAACCTGCCCGAGGGGAGACTGAGATGAGCTCTTAGGCAGAAGCTCTTCCCTGGGAGGGTGCTGAGGCGCTGGCACAGGGTGCCCAGAGAAGCTGTGGCTGCCCCATCCCTGGCAGTGTTGAAGGCCAGGTTGGACACAGGGGCTTGGAGCAAGCTGCTCTAGTGGAAGGGGTCCCTGCCCGTGGAGCTGGATGAGCTTTAAGGTCCCTTCCAACACAAACCCCTCTGTGATTCGACGATTTCAGCAGCCCTGTGCATCCAGGATCCTTTCCCCAAACCCATCTGGAGGCCCTCCAAGGTTTTGAGATCCTCATCTCCTTTCTAAAGAGCTTAAATAAGTGCTTGAGTGTCCAGAAGTGACTCTCACAGGGAGCTGGGACGCTGCAGTGCTGGGGACAGAGCTGCTGTGCGTGTGCTCACGGGCAAGGGTATCTCCCAGCCAAAGAGCACTCAAGAAGTGAAGTATATTTATCTGCCATTTGCTTTCCATCCCCGGAGCCTGCCAGCCTGTAAACACCCGTTCCCCTCGCTCTGGGACGTGTCAGATGTTGTGACTGCAGCCTGCACCAGCTGGCTGGCTCTGCTCCTCCTCTGCACACAAGAAGAGACGTTTCTTATGTACAAGAATGCAGGAAGTCTCCTGCAGGGAACGCTGTGATTTACAGTGTAATGCCCCGAGCGGGGTATTTTCCACTGCTGAGAACAAGCAAACGCAGCTGTTGTTCAGCAGCTCTTACAGACAGGTACAAGTGGGATGCTCACTCCTTCATCCCTATGGGAATGCCCTTCTGACCATCACAGCTGGGCCACCCTTCTGGGGAGAAGCCACTGCTTCCTAAGGGTGACCAGCAGCTGGCAGTCAGCAAGAGTTTCCCAGTATAAGGCACCACATGGAGACAAGTCTTGATTTCAAGGCCACCACAAGGCATGAAAACTTCCTAAGTTCTCCAGCCAGGATCAGCCACCAGAAGGCTGGGAACAGTCAGCCCACAGCAGGGCTGTTTCCATCCAAGGACCACCTAAAAACCCTTTGGAAGATGCTCAGAGCCCACTGTGCGCAGCTTCACTGCAAGGGTTTTAACTGGCAACCCGACCACTCAATGCAGCTAAGCTTTGATGCCTGCTTGTTACTGTCACGTCTGCTGGCAGCAGAAAGGATGCACACATACACATACAATGCTGGGGTTCTGACACAGTACCAGGCTCCAGGTTCAATTATCTCCTGGCCAACACCACCCTGTTGTCTACTGAAAGGGGACGATGACTGAGTTATCGCATCGAGACAGCCCTCTCCAAGGCCCCAAGAATGAAAGAGAGGTTTGAAGACAACTAGAGAAGATAAATACATTCAGCCCGTCATCATAATGAGGAAGGATCCAGGACAAGCCGTGGGAGGAAGAACTAGACAGTAGCTAAGGGAGTGGGAAGATAAGAATCAGACTTTTTGTACTGCCAAAGGCACCCTGGTATCAAGCTCCATCAGTGAGAACAGTTTCAGTTCCCCCCATCTGTAAGACAGGGTGACACCATCTCCCTCCATCGCATTCAAACGAGGGAAAGCTCAAGTATTACTGCCATGAAAGCGATGTCTCCATGGGATCTGTCTGCACAGATAGGCTCAGGAAAGGTGATCAGAACTCAGGACAAGGGAGGATTACCTGAAACTTCACAACCACCCTGTTAACAAGCTGGGATTAAAGCAGTCACCACAGTTTTAAGTGAAAATGGCCCCACACAGGAGGTTTAATGCATGTTAATGAACCCCCTTGGAATAAAACAAAAGGGAATTGGGCTTAACACCTTCTGGGCCACCAGCTCCAGCAGCAGGAGATAGCGACGAGCAAACCTTAAATGTGACAAAACCCAGGAGCCCGTCTAAATGCTGCCTGAACTGGAAAAAAACCATGTCGTGAAGCTGATAAAATCCCAGTCAAACAAAAGGAGCAGGTTTGGAAATGGAACCTAAGAACCAGGAGGGGATGGGGGGGGTGGTGGGCAAACACTTTGTGCGTAGGGTTTTGCCTCCAGGACTCATTCAGCAGTAGCTGCAGGGCTGGAACAGAACCCAGGCTGCTGGGGCTATTCCTGACAGTTGACTCGCTTCTTCCTGCTGTCAGCACCTTGCCAAAACCCCAGCCAAGGGGAAGCAGCAGTGGGTCATCTCCCTCTTGGTGACTGCTGGGAGGGAAGAGCAACCCCTTGAATCATCCCATTCTTCCCTTAATTCCAGGTGAGTGAATCACTCCTGACTCAAGAGCTCGCATGCCCGCGGCTCTGGCTCCCACTGAGCTCAGCTGTGCTGGGTCTGCCCCTTCAAGTGCAAGCCAAGCTGCTGGTGTTGGGGGACCCACACAAGACCCAATGCTGCCAGTGATGGACACAGGGGAGAGCCAGGCACCTCCGAGGGCTTGCAAAGGCCAGGAGCAAGCACACGTGTTCATTCATGCTTTACATGCAGGCATGCACGCTTGTGAAGGCAAATAAGGGCGTGCTTATTTGGTGATCCAGAGAACCCAGAGCCACCCCTAATGTGTGTTTTCAAGCGCTCAGCACCCAGTGGGCTCCCTGGAGTTCAGCATCCAGCATGCTGAGCTGCCAGCATTGCTGGGCTAGGGGAGCACGAGGCAGTGGCAGCACAATGGCAACCGTCTGAAAAGGAGGAGGGTGCTTTTGTTTGACTACTGGTGCCAGGCAAAGACGAGGCCCACTCTGGGTTGTTTTTTTTTGGGGGGGGGTGGAAAAATATAATAATAAAATAAAAATCTCACGATGCTTCCAGTTTCCTGCTTCTTAAATAGGCAATTTTCCAAGAAAAATGGATCTGCCTCGGTGGGAAAATATGAGCAGTTGTAAGTAAGGCAGGGTTGGCACGCTCGTGTTTGGAAGCTTAAACCAGTGGGGTTTGCTGTGCTCACAACAAAGCCAAAAGGGGAAGGGCTGGAAGTAACCCAGGAATGGAAGATGGGAATTAGGCGTGTGAGACACCCCTCATCCCAAAAGAAACCCAGAAACTGAAGCCCCAACTGTTAACTTCTTCCTAGCAAGGAGAAGCTCGCCATAGGTTTCCTTCCCTTTGGGCAGCTTCACTGGGTGAAAAGACAAGGAATTTCAGCAGGGAAGGACTTCACATTCCTGTGCCTTTCTAGCACAAGTGCAGGGCCACACATTAGCCAAGGGGCACAGGGGCAGATGTGCTTCTACAGGGCTGCAAGCCAGCACTGCAGCAAGGCAAACACAAGCACCCCCTGCCTTGGGGAAACAGCCACTGTCCCCCTCTCCTAGCCCCTGGCTCGCACGGGCACAGGATGGGAGCAAGCAGGGAGGGCAGCTGGAGAGCTACGGATGTGGTTGTCCCAGCTCTTCCAGGGGAGAGCCCTTTGGAAGTCCAAGCTCACATACCTTCTGATTCACGTACCTGCCCGGCTGCTTTCCGACTGGTTTAAGAGCGGGTTGATCGAGAGCCCAGATGTGAGGGGGCTCCCAAAGATATGCGAGGAAGGGAGGCTGAAGGTGGAACCCGCCAGGGAGAACACCTACGTGGCAAAAGAAGGAGGCAGAGACAGAGGAATGACTTCTCAAAGGGGCAGGAGGGAAATAGCTTCGTTCTCCCATCTCCTCCTGACTCTCGATCCCGGCTGGCTCAGGAGACAGTGTTAAAAATACCTCCTTGGAAGCCTCGCTAGACACTTGAAATCTTCCCAAGCCCTTCTCGGAGCCAAGAGGTCTGAATGAGCCGTGTTAACAGTGAAGCTGTAAACCCAGCTCTCTCCTCCCTGTAAAACACCTCCCACAGCGAGCTCCCGACACAGGACCAGGCTCTGTCTCCTGGCACACGCAGAGCCCACCCAGCGGGGATGCGCCAGCCCTCCCACCACGTTATCGGTGCTGCGGGGTGAGCACCAGCAGCAGGATGCACTGGGAAGCAGGGGACACAGCACAGCCTCTGCGACCTGGGCACTGCCTGTGCTTCCTCTAACGCTGGAAAGCAATGCATCCTTTTAGGTTGAAGTTCCTCCCAGCCTCAAACAGGCTGCGGGGCTGTGATGCCAAACCTCCTGCATCCTTCCACCCACTCTACGGGAAGCTGCAGCGAAGGAAGAGGAGCTGTTCCCAAGTGAGGAAAGCAGCTCCTCTGTGCCCAGCTCTTCCCAAGCTACAGCCCCCATCCCGCTCCCCCGTGTTCTTACCTGCGTGGTGGACACCGAGGAGGAGGAGGAGGCTGGGATGGTGCTGGCAAAGGGCGAGCGGTTGAGCTGCGGGAGGGACGCCGTGCCCTGGTGTGCCAGGAGGCTGGAGGAGAGCGGGGTGCTGCACACGGCGCGGAGCACGCCACCGCCGTGCGAAATGGGGTCCTTGTTACTGGTGTAGATCCCTGCAAGGGGAGGGCATGGTTAGAGAGCCAGGCTCCTCTCCGCAGCCTGCAAGCAGCTGGGTGTCTGCAGGGCCCCATGGCACAACCGTACGAGACACCCGAGCATCTCGTGGCCTGGCGTGCAGTGAGGGCGGTCCCAGCTCGCAGTCCTTCTATCCCAAGGTATCATAGAATAGAATCATAGAAGAGTTCGGGTTGGAAAGGACCTTAAGATCATCCAGTTCCAACCCCCCTGCCATGGGCAGGGACACCTCACACTAAACCATCTCACCCAAGGCTCTGTCCAACCTGGCCTTGAACACAGCCAGGGATGGAGCATTCACAGCTTCCTTGGGCAACCATTCCAGTGCCTCAGCACCCTCACAGTAAAGAACTTCTTCCTTATATCCAATCTAAACGTCCCTTGTTTAAGTTTTAACCTGTTACCCCTTGTCCGGGTATCACAGCCTTTGGGTATCCAAAGGTACATTCAATAGCCAGTACCGACACCCAAGGTGCTTTCCAGCCCCCTGATACAGAGGAATCACACCATAAAGTGACCCACCAAAGGCACAAGTCAGTGGCAGGAGGAGGTCGTGGACTCAGAGCCCCACTCTCTGCTGCCTGTGCTAGCCAAGGGACCACACTCTTGCTGAGCTGACCTGTCCCCCTGCGTGATGCGCAGGGACCACGGTGGGGCAGGACAGATAAATGAGGAAGAAAGGGCGAGGAGGGAGCTGCTGCTGAGGGATGGGACCCGTTTGACTTCCCCTTGGCTCGTACACGCGGCAGGGGCCCAAAGCCAGCTCCTTCTGAGCCCTGCCAACATCTCTGCAGCAGAAGAATGGCAGAACAAGCAGGCAGGAGCGCAGGGCCTGGCAGCAGCCTCCTCTCTGAAACATCCCTTTGTTGTTCCAGGGAGAAGGCAGAAAACCCTTGGCCCCAGGTTATGATTATGGGAGCTGCATCAATTCCTGCAGCTCCTCTCCTCTCTCAGACAAACAGGGCAGGGCTCCCAGGCACACACAACAAACCCATACCCACACCCCCCCCCCCCCGCCTCCCCGTGCAATCTGACCTAAATTGGAACATCTGCAAACAACCCACAATAGACCCATGACAAGTTCTGCTGCCAGAACAGTGTCAAACCTCAGCCCGGAGCAGCAGGCTCCTCCTCTGCCTGCTGCCTTAACCCCTTCCTGCCACACATCCTGCCTGCCCCATCCCTGCCGCAGAAGGGAGCGCAGGCTGGGAATGGCTGTAAGCCTCTCAGCACAGTGAACGGTGACCCAGTGTCCCAACCCTGTGTGGATGGGCTAAGACCAGGATGGGAGGTTTTGCTTTTAGAAAGAGGGGTTAAACTTGGACCATTTATGAGAGAGCCTCATTTGGGGTGAGGCTGTGGTTGCTCTGGTTTGGGCTGTGGATATCCCACCCTATCTATCCCTTTGGAAATCCAGCTCTGGCTGAGGTGCTCCAGCAAAAAGGGGTTGAAATGCTCCACAGCTCTATCGACAGGGAAGCTGACCTAGCCCGAAAGCCAACATGGAAATGGGAGAACCAGCTCCAGGGATTGAAGGAAAGGCACTGGACCCGGTGCAGACAGGTCCAGACGCCAGCTCCGCGGGATGGGAAGGGAAGGAGGAGCCGTTGCACACCTGGAGCCCTACGGGGGGAACATACCTGAGCCCAGCAGCGGGGACTCCATGCTGAGGCTGGGCAGGTTCCCCGTGTGGCTGAAGGGCCGGGAGGAGCTGCCGATGCTGGAGCTGACGAGAGAGCCCCCGGAGAAGGGCGATGAGGACGTCGACGTGGACCCAGCCAGCTGGGCACCCAACATCTCTTTGCTCTTGCCCCCTTTGGGCCTGCCAGGCCCATGCTTGTTCTTCTTGCTGCCTTTGTGCTTCTTCTCCTTCAGCACCTCTCCCTCCTCCATGCTGAGGGACGGCATGCGCTTGTGGCTGCTGCTGCTGCTGCTGGTCCCACTGCTCCCCACCGAAGGGCCACTGATGGTGTTGGAGGCTTTATAGTCCACGGGGGAAGCATCCCGGCCTCTCTGCTGGCTCACGGCGGAGGTGGAGAAGCGCATGATGGACCCGAAGCCGGAGAAGATGACCTTCTGCTCGAAGATGTCCCCCTTCTGGCCTTCATACAGAGGGGAGCAGTGGGAGGAAGAGGAGGAAGAGACAGGCTTGCGGTACTTCTCGTCGTCCTGCTCGAGCTTGGGGAACGTCACAAAGTCCTGCGAGCACTGCAGGCTGCTGCAGGAGGTACCTGGGGGGAAGGAAGCAGGGATAGGAAGGCTCACGGCAGCAGTACCTCAGTCCCTAACAGGAGGTTGGCAAGAGGAGCACGGCCACAACACAGGTCATAGAACCAGAGCACCATGGAATGTTTGCGTTGGAAGCGACCTTAAGGTTAAATCCCAACCCCCTGCCAAGGGCAGGGACACCCTGCACTACTCCAGGTTGCTCCAAGCCCCGTCCAACCTGGCCTAGCTCCTCTAGCACAGTCTGGTTATCAAAAGCCACCCCTGTCACCTCCAAGCCCATACCTTTGATGCTCCTCTAATACAGTCTGGTTATCAAAAGCCACCCCTGTCACCTCCAAGCCCGTACCTTTGATGCTCTCTGGCAAACACAAGAGGTGCACACCAGCATCCTCACCCCACCCAAACATGCCTATGTCTGGTCCCCCAGGTCCTGCATCACCCCAGTCCATCCCTCCAGCCCCATTAGGGTACCGGAAGATGAAACACATTGGCCATTCTGGCAACGGCTCAGGGAAGAGCAAGGTCAGAGCAATGGGAGCCTGGCACGGCTTTGATTCAGAGCTCAGGGGAGCCTGGATACCAGAGTTTGGCTCAGATCTCTCCGCTAATACTCCTTAAAACACTGCTGCAGACAGTACCACCTAGGGAGGAGAAGGCAGGTGCTGCCCACATTGCCTGCATCCCTTCCCTCCTCCCTCCGCTCACACATCTGGATCTGTTTTCCCTTGCAGTGCAGGAGGGGAGCTGTAACACTCCTTGGGCTCGGCTCTTCCCTCTGTGCATGGAGTTAGCAGCAGCAAGGCTTTCCCCTTTCTCTTCCAGGGGTTAAAGGAACAGCCATGAGCACTTGCTGGTGTACTTACAGCTGCATCTCAAAGAGGGGCAAAGCAAAGCACCCACTCTCCCCTTCTCTCCTTCACCCCTTACCTGCAGGCTGGAAGGTCCCGCTGGATGAAGCTGAGCTGAAGCCAACCGAGCTTTTCCCACTTCCAGTCTTTTTCCCCTTGTGGCTGCTTCCATGGCTTGAGGACTTCCTGCCTTTCACCTCCGAGCGGCCCACCTCCGAGGGCTCTTTGCTCCCCTCATGGTGGCTGGTAGAGCCCTGGCAGCACCAAACACAAAGGTCACTCACTCAGGCCAGATGTGGCCACAGCAGGGGCTCTTTTGACCCATTTCCCCTTAAGAGAAGTAATTGCCCCCTCAGCCCACAAAGCGATGCTCAGGTCGTGTTGCTCAGCAGAAAAAAAGCCCCATTTCCCTCTCTTGCTGCTTCCCATCCCACCCAACTGCAGGAAATTAAACAGGGAACTGATGATCCGGGCACAGACATCAGAGATTCCCTGCACTGTCAGCAGAGGGAAGTACCTCTGAGGGTTAGCCAGCCCACATCCAACCTGAATTTGGCTGGGATTCAAGCATGTATCTCCGCTGCATCCCTCAGGTGTGCTGCTCTCATCAAGGTCATTCCAATGGGGGGGAATTTACTTGTCGTTGTGCTGTGACAGGAGTTTCCCTGGATTCCCTAAAGCACCCACTGGGGCCAGCCAGGGCTTTCCAAGACCTGCTGCAGTACTTCATAGGGACACTGTTAGAGCAGCATCTGAGCACGCAGCAACAGATGCTCTCCAAACCCCATCTAAGCCTGCAGGAGGCAGGGAAGCAAGGGGGGGATGAAGAGGCTGACCAGATGCTAGGAAATCCAGGAGCTTGGGATGAGAGAGTGGGAAGAAGTGGGGAGATCAGCAGGGGGGGGAGAGCGGAATGCACCAAAACCCAGATCCCCCAGGGCACCCACATTGGGATACGAAACCTTCACCTTCAAGGCACTTCAAAGCCAAACCAGCAGCGTTCAAAGACGACTTCTTGCGAGGTATTACTGCAATCAATCGATAGCATAGACACAGCCCTAACGGGATGGCTCCAAGCCCAAAACCTAACACCTGTACATCAGCACAAACTCCTTTCCTTTCCGACCGAGCGGATAGAAGGAAGAAGCCCGATCCCTTTCCCATATCCCACTATCCCTGACTCCAGATGACCTCTTCTTGGGGAGAGCTCAAGGCAAAAAAAAAGGGCTCGTAATGCAGACTCCTGAGTGGCCAGATAAGACTCTTTCCCCATTGCTCCCACACGGTTTAATCACTCCGCACCATGCAACAGCTGGCAGCCTAACGCACACCAGATGTGCCGGGAATATGAAAGACAGGAGGAAGGGAGTGGTGGAAATTGGGGGGGGTGGGGGTGTCCTGTATTTTCTCATCACAGACTCCTGGATGCAGGAGATTAAACCTCCTTGATTTACGAGCTCGCAGGGAACATGAAAATCTCCCTGACTTTCCACATCTGCCTGGGGAAGGAAAAGGGGAGCAGCGGCTGGGAGGGGGCTATGGGAAGCCCGGAGCCTGCTCTCGGGGTGGGAGGGAGGAAGGAGATGGCTCACGGCCGAGCACAGATGCAAAGCCCTGGGTTTTCCTCCCATAAATTCACCTCTCCGGAGCTCCCCGGGCGAGGTGCACGAGGCCACAGAAGGGCAGGGGGGGGAAACAGCCTGAGAAGATAGGTTCCTGCTCCCCAGCGTCAGGAAGGGAGTGTAGGGCAGGTAATGAATGAGGGCAGGGCGGGAGGGGGAAACCAGAGCTGGGGAATAAATCTGAACTGCAAAACTAAAGGGCAAATGGAATTAAAAGAGGGTAAGGGAGGCTGAGGGGGCTCAGCCGCAGGTGGCAAAGGGATGGACACTCACCTGCAGGGCTGATCCCACCTCACAGCCTCAATGAGAGGTTCCCAGGGACGACAGGGGCAGGATTTCCCCACCTCCTGCCAAATGCTATCCTAGACAGCGTTGGCCAAGCAGGTCACGGCAGCCAAATCCATGTGGAAACTCCCAGCCTCTACCCTACCAAGGGCCCTTCTCTAAGCAGCCTTTCTTGGAGAGCCCGAATGTGGGGCACGGGCCCAAGCAATGCAGCTGAGGAGCAAAGAGGGGGAAACCGAAGCCGCGCTAAATCACTGCCCCTCTCTGCGCCTCTGTTTCTGTCCCACTTTGCTCCATGGGGCCCGCAGGCTCTGGGTGGCAGCGGAGCCTTCCAGGAGACACACGTGGGCTGCCAAGCACAACACGGCCGTGATCTGAAGGGGAGGGGACCGCTAGCATCATGCCAATGGTAATAACAGTGACGAGGGCTGCAGTCCCATCGCCTTCCTGATGAAGGGCTGGAGCAACCCGCATGCCTCGGGCACAGCCACAGGTCTCAATCCCTGGATTATCGGCTCTCCTCCAGCATGGAAATCCGTGTGTGTGTATGCACAAACACCACTTTCATGTGCTGCAAACAGGCTGGGGGGGGGGGGAATGACATGCTGCAGAGCGGGCGGGGGAAAGCAGGGAAGCGCTGAGGAAGTGAGAGCTCTCTTTCGAAACGAGCCAGGAGCTACGTTTTGAAGGTTTATTTCAAGCAACCAAGTGGAAAATGTCACCAGCATAAACCAGCTGGAGGTGCCAGCCTGATGGGGAAAGTCCTGCCTCGACCCAGGAGCCCGCAGTGAGATGAAGGCGCGCCGGGATGCACGTACCTCCTGTCCCCCGCGGGGCTGTACCTCGTTCCTGGCCTCCCTGGGACACTGTGCAGCCCCCAAGCTCTTCATTCATGAATTTATTGATGGGAAATCAGAAGAGCATCTCTTTGCCTCCTGATTGGCGAGGCGAGCGCCGAGAGGGAACCACTGAGAGGATCCAGAAGGAAAAGGGGGAGGCTGGTGCCGCGCGTCAGCCGCGCAGGGCGGCTTTGCCCTGGATTAAACTACTGGCAGGGGAAGCAGGGAGGATGCCAAGGAGGAACAATGCGCTGAGAGCAAGGGCTCCTCCAGCCATGCACTGCAGGGTGATGTGCAGAAGCAGCCACGCAGGCAGGGTGAGCATCAGCTGCCTTTCCATGCTGGATCACCAGATCAGACGAGTCTCCGTCAGCATCTCGCAGCTTCTCTGTGTCTGAGCCACTCACGGTATTTAGCATGTCCCTTCCCTCCATCTCAAGATCGGGCAGCACTGTGCTGCTGCTGTTTGTAGGGGGAAATAGGAGATACAGGTGGGCTGAGGGACTTCTGACAAGGCAATGTGGTGACAGGACAAGGGGGATGGTTTTAAGCTGACAGAAGGGAGACTGAGATGAGCTCTTAGGCAGAAGCTCTTTCCTGTGAGGGTGCTGAGGCGCTGGCACAGGGTGCCCAGAGAAGCTGTGGCTGCCCCATCCCTGGCAGTGTTCAAGGCCAGGTTGGACACAGGGGCTTGGAGCAAGCTGCTCCAGTGGAAGGGGTCCCTGCCCATGGCAGGGGTTGGAGCTGGATGAGCTTTAAGCTCCCTTCCAACCTAAACCAGGCTGGGATTGTATGAAGACCTTATTTTTAAGACCCTGATGTCACTGGCAAATTCCCACTCGTGTCAGGACAAGGGATGCTAAAGGAATTCTTATGGTAAATATCCCTGCTGAGACATGCTGTGATTAGCAGGAATAATCATCAGCCCCCTCCACAACCTCCTACCCCATCACGGTGCCTGTGCGTTTGCCTGAGCCAGGCGCGGCGCAGACATTCCCAGGATCTCTCAGCTCCAGGCACGCTCTGGGAAGACACCGAGAGCTCAAGTAACAGTGGAAAACCTGGAAAGCCTCCCTGCTTTCCACAGTGTCTGCAATCAGGAGCTGTTCCTCCTCCAGCACCCAACTGGAGAAGAGGATGGATGCGGAGAGAGGCCTTGGCATCCCCAGCTTAGCTTACGGAACCCAGAGCGAGCCAGATGCTGCAGCCCAAAACGGGGCATGTGTGAGTGCGTCAACAAGTGCTCCTGATGCCTGCAGCTGGCAGGAGGAGGCAGATGGGATGAGGGAGGGTTGCAATAGTGCAGGTTTACTGCAACAGGGAGCAGCAGGATGGCTCCCCAGGGGTGCTCGCAGCGGGAGGGAAGGGGCAGGTTTGCTGCGGTGCTGCTGCCCGCTAACCCCATCCCAGCACCGGGCACCAGCTCCATGGAGAGATCCTGAGCACACAAACTGCCTCTTGGCTTTGGCAGTGACTGTAGAGCTAGAGCAGCGCTGGCTGCCAACGCTTACTGGTGAGGCTCATTGCTCCTGTCGGGCTGAGAAACCCTATCCTCTGCCCCAGACCCCCTCCACAGATGCCATCTTTCCAACAGGCTGCTCAGAAGCATCCTTTTTGGCACCACTTCTGGATGGACCACGTGAAACAGGCAGAAACTCTTACCCAGAGGGGCTGTTCTCTGCTTCCCTCCCACTCCCCAGACAGTCTGTGTGAGCTCCAAGCAGCCAATGCACCAGTGAAAGACAGCCTCTCCCCAGCACAAACCCATGCTCCAAATCCCCCCCAATCCCCCCAAAACCAACAGTGGCGGGTTTGCAGCTCACAGCTCTGTGTGCCCTCCAAAAGGGACGCTCCTGTGCCCCACCAGCAAGGTCTCCTGCCCCTCCGGAACATCTCATCACCCAGAGCCACACTGCAGAGGCAGGAGGCGAGCTGCAAGGAGCTGTTAGGAAGAGGCATTTGCATGCTGTGAATTCACACCCTGGTTTCACTTTCCGGTGCAGACGAGAGCTGAGGCCACACCGTGGGCTCAGGATGTTGATCTGCCAAACCTGAGCGAGGCACTGGGACACAGAGGCCTGGGAGAGCCCCAGGGTCAGGGATTGATGGCATTTAGATCCCTAGAAGACACCGGGAAGCACTCGGGGAGATGCTCAAAAAGCCGTCAAGAGTCAGAGGTCTACCGCTATTGATTGCGAGAGGAAGACTTGAAACCACATCAAAGGATCTTCGGAACTAAATGGTTCAAGAGGGGAGCAGGGGGTGGGCGATGGATGAGGTGAAAATTGGACCTGAATGAGAAATCTGCATTGCAAAACTAAAGCAAAATGTAATGTGAACGGGAAGGCCAGGCTGCCGGAGGCAACAGGGAAGTGGAAATGTGCCACGGTTCCTCCATAGCAATGCCATAGGGCTGCTGCTGTCAGCCTCACCTGCTGGAGGAGCTTGAAAGTCCTGCTGCATAGGAGTATAGCTCTGAAAATACGTTATTAAAGGGTTGCTGATGGTTTCACAGGGCTTTGGTAGCAAGACCAGATGCTGGGGCTCAGATGCCCCATTGCTGCAGGCTCCTTCTAGGCTAAGTAAACTGGGAGCAGCCTGAAGTGTGGCTTCAGGTACCAGTCACACCTCTCCATGGCTGGTGCCACACTATGGTCCTGATGTCCAAGGAGCAAACAGTGCCAAGGCCTGAATCTGCTGATTATCTGGCTCCTCTCCTCACTGCTGCCTCCAGAACACCAATGATGCTCAGTGCCACCAGTCCTGTGCACCAGGACAGGAGCCTCACTGTGTGTGGTGCTCCTCCGGCTCCAGTGTGAGCATCACAAAGTGCTGGCAGCATGGGTCTGGCGTGGACATCAAGGGCTGCACCAGCCTCCTGTGGCTCTGCTCACTGGGCCAGTGCCCTGCTCCCAGGAGCCTGGACATGAGCATCTGCCCTTGGTGCTGCATCAGGTTAAGATGTGCTCTCATCCAGCTGCTCCCCATGAAAGACGGGATGCTGCGTCACCTACAGGGGTTATCCATGGGGAGTTTGGGCTCTGGTTCCCTGGAGAAGACCATGCAGGTGATAAATGCCTTACCCAAGACCACGCAAGTGGTAAGGAGAGGAAAAGACCCCAGCTCTTTCCAGACTCTAACCATGGCACAGCAGGGACTAGCAATGCTCTCCTGCTGGTCACACCATGCACATCAGCTTTTGGTTTGCAGTACACTCTACTGCGACGAGTTGCACTAATCTATGACCCAGAACGGTCCAAGAGAGTCTTGGCTTCCAAGAGGAAACCTATTTGGACGTGCTGCATCGATGGGGCTCAAGGTTTTCCATTAGGCAATGCTACACCAGTGCAACTATGCAGAAAGCCTCCTATAACCCCCCTTGGAGGGGGTTGCGCAGGGTTGCAGCAGGCTGCTGAGCAGCTCTTAAATTCCACCTGGAATACCTTTGGTAGCAGAGCTGGAACAGGATTTTGGGACCTATGCACCGAAAAAAAGGCAAGGGAAATACACTCGCTGCTATGAGGATTAATAGCAACTCCCTAGGGAAACACTAAAACCCTGTCGCTCAAGCAGGGCTACAGTAATTAGGATCTCCTGAATTTCAGCTCACAAAGAGCTGAAAGCTGCCTGTAAAAGTGCATTGCACCTTTCCTCCTCCTTGATAAAGGCCTGGCAGGGCGCTGGGGGAGACAGTGGGCAATTGTCTCCCAGGCGCTCGAGCTGGCCAGGAGTCAGGGCTTGGGTTTCAGTTCAGCTTGAAAGTAATCTCCTTAGGCCATCAGCTCCTGGCAGCTCCGGTAACGGGGTGAATCTGCGGCGCCCGAAAGCCAGAGCGGGGCTGAACAAAAGCCCAGGTCCATCACGAGCGATGGCAGCTCCGAGGCTCTTCCTCTGCTCTGTCCTGCTCTACCTTCCTGCCTCTCCCAGCCTGAGAACCACGAGAGCAGCTTTGCCATTCCAGCTCTGACCTACATCTGCTCCCAGAACACAGCAAATCCTCTTCAGCCCTAACCCAAAGCGACCCCGTGCTGACCGGCAGGAGCTTGCTCCCCTTCCAGACTGCCCCTGCAGTGCTTCTCACACACGCAGACCCCGCTAGCCTGTGAATCCTCATCTCCACAAGGCAGTCCTGCCACGTAAAGGACACCCAAGCCTTTCCAAGGAGCGTTTTTTGTGCACAAAAGGACATTCCTGGGACATGCTGTTTTATTTGCTGTAGCAGGAGCTTGGCCCTGGTCCTACTCTCGCTTATACCAGAACAGCCCTGCTAAGGAGCTGCATTAATCTACATTCCCACTACACACAGGAGGTCCAGGTGATGGAGTAACCTCTCTTGTTCCCTGCCCCTGAACAACCACAGACTTGGCCTTCACCTTGCTGCGTACTCAGCTGTGTCTGTTCTGCATTACTGGGAGCTCGGGGCTCATGGGTTTTCCTGTTCTACAGCCAGGTGCAAAAGCCCACGTCCAGCAGCATGATGTGAACAGGGAAACACACTGATTGTGTCCCACCAGCCCCGGGCGCTGAGGAGACAAACCCACACATGCAGCATCTTCCCTGCCTCTACACCTCAGGAGCAACCCAGGCCACCTCCCTGTGGCCCTCTGCCTCAATGGTCCTGAAATGAGGGAACTCAACAGAAACCAACCTCCCCCTCCATTGCCTTGCACAGAAAAGCCACCTCTGTGATGCCCTTTGAAGATCTGTGCTTCTAAGATGATCTGGGTTTTTCACCTTCAGCTCCATCAGTTTGTCTAATGGGGGATAACACCTCCTCCCATAAGCCTTGCCTCGCTGTTCACGCTGTGGCAGCAGCCGAGGCCAAAGCAGGGATATTTGGCTCTTTCCATGAGAGCTTCCAATCTGAACATCTGCTGCAGAACAGGCTGGCACTTAGAGCTCCATCACTTGGGAGCTCAGCGCCATGGCTGCCTCCTCAGCGCTGACAGGAATCAAGCCAGCTGCCATGCTAAATTCCCAAGGTGGGGAGAGCGAGGCAGGGAGTGAGAACGTGATGAACTGGGAGTCAAACCATAGGGACAAGCCCCATTTCTCTGCTCTCCTGCCCTGCCCTCCCCACTTAGCACCAATGGTTTCCCCCTGCCCTCCGTCCCCACACTCACATCCTGCAGGTTTGGTACCTTCTCTGCGGCAACGGGCACCAAGGATGGGGTAAGGCTGGTGGGAGACTCCGGACGTTTTTTGTGCTTCTGTTTAGGTCTTTCTTTGTCCTTCCGACTCTGCAAAAGAAACCAGAGAGCGCTGGAAGTACTGAGTTGTGAGGGAAAAGAAAGGAGGGTGTGTAGGTGTGGATTTACAACCATACATTCGTATCCCTCTTTCCTTCTCCACCCATCCGCATGAGCCCAGTATCCCTCCCTCCCTCTTCTCCCCCATCCCAGCTTCTTCTGGCTGGGAGCATCCCACTACCTCCACCCCAGCTGCAGCCAACATCTGGAGCACACAATATCAACAGAAGCCCCCACATCAGTTTATGGTAAGATGAACATGAGCCTTCAGTGCGCGCTCGCAGCCCAGAAACCAACCGTGTCCTGGGCTGCATCCAAAGCAGCGTGACCAGCAGGTCATGGAGGTGATCCTGCCCCTCTGCTCTGCTCTTGTGAGACCTCACCTGGAGCATTGTGTGCAGTTCTGGTGTCCTCAGCATAAAAAGGACATGGAACTGTTGGAACAAGTCCAGAGGAGGCCACGAGGATGCTCAGGGGCTGGAGCAGCTCCTGTATGAAGACAGGCTGAGGAAGTTGGGGCTGTTCAGCCTGGAGAAGAGAAGCTGCGTGGAGACCTCAGAGCAGCTTCCAGTGTCTGAAGGGGGCCTATAGGGATGCTGGGGAGGGACTCTTCATTAGGGACTGTAATGACAGGACAGGGGGTGACGGGTTAAAACTGAAACAGGGGAAGTTTAGGTTGGATATAAGGAGGAAATTCTTTCCTGTGAGGGTGGTGAGGCACTGGAATGGGTTGCCCAGGGAGGTTGTGAATGCTCCATCCCTGTCACCGTTCAAGGCCAGGTTGGATGAGGCCTTGGGTGACCTGGTTTAGTGTGAGGTGTCCCTGCCCATGGCAGGGGGGTTGGAACTGGATGATCTTAAGGTCCTTTCCAACCCGAACTATTCGATGATTCTATGATAGGGAAGGCCTTAAGCTCTGGCTGATTCCAAGAAACCTGAGCTTTCCTCTTGTTTCCCCCCCAGCAGGACTCTGTCCCCCTTACCCTCACTCTCTACCTTCTTCAAGGCTTTCTCAGATCCACCCTGTGCAGCCAACAGGAGAAGCTTGATTTCAGCCCATATTGTGTGTGCACAGGTAAAGAGGTCCGGCAGCGGGGATCTCACAACGGAGGCTTCACCTAGAGGGAGATCCCTCACGTCTGCCCTCCCAACAGAGACAGCTGCCCTGGGTCCACCTCTGCTCACAGGAGCCACTCTATTTAGTCTGATTTCTTCATTCTGGTTTTTAATCTCATTAAAATCCCAAAGCCGTGGGATTCTTCAAAGGGAAAAACCAAGGGGAAATCATGGCCTGGGAAGCACCAAGTCCTGCCTGCCCTGATGTTATAGACGTACTGTAACCAAGGAGATTACTCTTAGTGTTAGCTGCATGTTCTCAGTGAAAGGACTGAAGAGGTACGGCTGTGTCACCTCAAGCCAGTGGAGCTTGAGGATGGATGGCTAGAACAGCATGCTCCATACTCCTGCTTCCTCCCCTGCTTTCCTAGCTGCATGCTCCCATGGGAACACCCTGAGTCGACCAAAGGAGCTTGGCGTGCTGCTGATACCAGCTAAAGATGTGGCTTGCTTTGCTGAAGGTACAGAACCCTTCCGTGCTCAGTTCCAGACTTCCCGGTGTGGTCACTGGTGTGTGGACCAAGAGAGCAGACAAACACCTGCAGGAGATGCAGGGCTCAGAGAGATCCATCCTGCTGTCTGACACCTTTCTGTGCCTGCTTTGGTACAACTCCCTTGCATGGGCCTTTTCTTCTAGGAGCTGAAGGGCTCAGTCTGGACCAAAGGTGCATCCGGAACAGAGCAGTCGTATCACAATTCACTGGCTCTCAGAAAGATGCTGATTGCTTCCTCATGCAGGCAAAGCCCCGAGGCGACAGCCACCAGCACATGCCAGCGTTGGGATGCTGTCAGGGGAAGATGCAATTGCAGTGAATACATGAGCTCCACTGCCAGGTTTTGGGGAGGAGAGAGTGGAATGGAGATAGGAAACAGTACTCTACATGGGGGAAGAAAGGGACAGGAGGAAGGACAGGGCGGCAGGAAAAGGCTGGAGGAGGCAGGCACGAAGTGAAGCAAAAGAGCTCCAGAAATGAGCACCTTCCAGTGCGAATCTGGCTGAGGTTTCATTCCCCTTGAAAGGAAGCCCATGCAGCAGCCACCAGGCAGGGAAAGCACCATGGAAGCTTTCCCTGGGACGAGCTGGTGGAAAAAGGAGGCCAACACAGCCTCGAGCTTCAGTGCACTTGCTGAGTGCCCAACCAACGCTGCCAGTATCCATCATTTTATCACCAGACTCCTGGCATTCAGCGGATCTGTGAAAGCCTCTGTTAGAGCTACAGCATTTTACATGAATCCCTGTTTTCTTCCACCCCCTTTCTTTAATGCATATTCCCAGCTTTGGCAGCGAACATGGAAAGCCTGAAAACGCGCTTCCTGCAGCCTAAGTGCCGAAAGACAGAGGAAAATTAAATCTTTACTAAATCTCAGCATGGTTTAAATACTTTGGGGCTTCTCATGCTATAAACTCCGTGTCTCATGGGCCTTCTAGGACAGAAGGATGGGGAAACTAGCCCAGTTAGTTAAGCAGCTAAGTTAAGCACAGACCATGTGCAGATCAGGGTTCATTATTCCAGCAGTAGCAGCAATTTGCACTCAATAGCACACAGCAGAGAGAGATTCAAGGGGCTGAAGAGAGGATTTTAATGTCTACATCTCACTTTACAGATGGGGAAAGCAGGGATGGAGGAACTTGCCGATGCTTCCCAGAAAGTCATCCATACACTCAGAAACACCAGGGATCCCCATCCCACCTACTTGGAGGTGCTGCCAGTGCCGCTCATGGAAGCCAGAGATGGAAAACAGGAGGCCCATTGCAACGCATTTTGCCAAACAACTGCACGAACCCCAATCCTTAAGCTTTTTGAGGACCGCAGAGCTTATCCTCTCCTTTCCAGGCCCCAAATCCCAAATGCACTTCAGTCATGAAGGGGCAAACAGCAGCAGGACAGCACTGAGAGCGTTTCAATTCACATATCATGGTCAGGATGACACAAGGCAGAGCCAAGCCGTTTTGGCTAACCGCAACGAACCTGCACACAGAGACACATGCACACAGGCTGCGATGTCCTGCCTGTTAGCACAGCAAGCCATAAAACCTCCCACAGCTTCACTGCGATGGCAACCACCAAACTCTCCTGTGTCCTGTCCCCCTGAAACATCTCCCTTCGCTGTCGGCAGCACAGAGGCTACATCAAACTGAGCAGCTCTCTGCTTCCATGTAGGAGCGTGGACATGTGTCCACATTCAGCGAGAGCCCAGCCTGCACAACAGGGACCAGATTTCTGGAATGCCTCAGCTCCCATTTAGATGCCTGAATAAATGGTCAGGTTTTCCCAAAAGCCAACTGCTGGCTATTGAGTTCTTTTGAAGATCTGGCCCCGACTCCATGTGCTGAGCAACTGCACTCAAGCTATTTAGAAAATCTGGCCCACAGAGACCAGGCTTCGTGCTCTGCTCAAAGGGCTGCATTGAAACCAGAACCACCGCAGACTCAATGTACTTCTGCTCCACGTCCCTGCACGCAGCCCCAGGCCGTGCCCACAGGCACACCTTCCTCCTCTGTTCTGCTTCCCGAGCACTTCTTTCCCACATCACCACAGCTTCTCCAGGCTCTCTGCTTGGTCAGAGCAGAAACCCCCAGCACCAGCCACTCTGGATCATTCTGCGCTGCAGTCCTTAAGCTCTGCACAGCCTGAGCATCCTCTGCCTTTGCCTGCCCAAGCAGCACGCACCTCCCAGCCTCCAGTGACTCTCTAATGCTTTTGAGTACTCAGAAAGGTGTCAGGACCTGACAATCTTGTTCCGTATCAGCGGTCAAAGGCAATGCCCTGTGTTAAACAGGCAGGACAATCAGTCCTGGTACCCCACAGACGCTTCGCTGCCCCCAGACCATGGCACTGCTGGGAAGGTTACGCTGCAGGGATCACCGGATGCTCAGTCCCTCCTGGCTCTCCTGCCTGTGTCTACAGGTCCTCAGACAACCTGGGGCATTCCCCAGCTCGCAGCAGACGTTTTTACACGCGTGGGTTCTCCCCAGGAACCGGAAGGCTCCAAGTGCTTCCTGCAAGAGCCACAAGGGCACAAGGCAGCACTCGAACCCCTGCCTCTGAACCGTCCCGTCCCCTCCAGCCCTTCCATCTCCGGGCACACAGGCGCTCTGCAAACCCTCCCTCCACCGACAACACAGCCGCTGCCAACAGGGAGCCAGGGGAGAAGGAGAAGGGGATGCCCTGAGAGGAGAAAACCTTCCAACACCCCCCCATCGCGTCCTCGCAAGCCAAAGCCAAGCCCTACCTTGCCCGGTGCTCGCTGCGCTCCGCAGGGAACGCGAACCTGCCCCCGGCACCCAGCGGCACGGAGCAGCACAAGCGCTCCCCGTGCAGCGCGGAGCAGCCGGGGCTTGGCATGCGGGCACGGAGCAGGGCAGGCCTGCGGGGGGGGACATTGGGGTGGGTGGGGGGGGGCGTGCCGTAGACATGGCCTCCCCCGGAGCTCCCTGGCGCAGGAGGGACCAAACGGGCGCTGCGGGTGCCAAAAGGGGATGTGCAGCGCTCCCCTTCCCCGAGCCCCTGCCTCTGATCTGCCGGACACCCGCAATTGGATCATGACAAGGAGATGGAGGGGAAGGAGGGAGGGAAGAGCCGGGAGCTGCAAAGAGCCAAGTGGGCTCTGCTGCTCCCTCCCTCTTTCCCAGGCTCTCTGAACTCCCTCACCCGGAGGAGGAGGAGGAGGCCGGCTCTGGGCTGCAGCCATGGCAGCCGCAGCGAGGAGGAAGCAGCATCAGGAACAGGGGCACTAAACGCTTCCCAGCGACCCCACTCGCTCTGGGTCCTGGTGGACCTGGAGTCTGTGCTTTTGCCTTGAGACACCCTCTGAGTGCAAGAGAGAGGCAGACAGACACAGACAGACAGACAGCACTCACTGGGCTTTGTGTGCTCGCAAATTACTGCTGCCCCTGCTAACGGACGGATTTGCTGGGGGTGGTTGGAGACCCACATAACGAGAGGGCACGGAACGGTGGTTAAGGATGCTATGAGACAAGGCTGCTCCTGCTAGATGGGAGCAGGTTTAAGTTCAGCACTCCCTGAAAACTCCATGCAAGCAGCCACCTGCATCCCACTTGATAAAAATGCCCCCTTTGCCCTTTGGTGCCTGCGTGGATGTGAAACCCCAAGAAGCAGACCTTCATCTCCAACACAAAGCCCCTCACAGACCCGGGGGGGTTTAGACTCCAACTTCTCCAGTGTGTTAAAGCTGCCAGGCTGGATCCTTGGCTCGCTTCCTCCACCGGCATCAGGTCTAGAGAGATAGGACATGATGGGCAGGCAGGCTCTGCCTTATCTGCTCAGCCACCATGGGACCGGGGCTCCTGCGCTGCCCTGGCTGGTTCTGAAGGGATGAGAGGGCACAGGACAGACACAGTCCCTGTATCCCAATAAAGCCATCCCTTCCGTGGCTAGGGAAGCAGTACAGGAGCTAAAGGTGCGTTATGACTGTGGAGAACTGCCTCTGCACTCAGAGCGGAGGAACAACTGCAGGTTTGGCTTATTTGCTCCAAGTGCCTGCCTCTGTTTCCTGTGTCACTGGGCACACACTGTCCCTTTCCTCCTCCAAATCCAAACTAACCCCCCACCTCCCCGTGTTGCCTATAGGTCCCAAGTGTTCATGAAGAGTAACACTGGATGAGCATCTCCCTCCATGGGGTATCCACCTGAAAGCATTGCAGCGCACGTGCTCCCATCTGCTCCACAGAGCGTGGTGATTTTCCCCTCTGCATTTCGAGCAGTCAATATAGGTGACAGAACATCTGTACTTCATTCAACCCCTCTGCGTCATCCGGCCTTTTCTTGGTATTTAGCTATTGTTTCCCTTCTCTCTTTCTTCTTTTCCAACCGAAGCAGGGGAGCGGGCTATTCACACCCCTGCTCCTACCTGACCATGCTCCCAGCCCTGCAAGTACAGGGAACCCTCACACGGTCCCCAGCCTTGACGTGCACAGTCTGTCAGTTCCAATTACAGCCGCGCTCTCCAAAGCTGCCATCAATCACTCCGATCCTGCCCTCTCTCCCACCCTTCTCTGCCTGCTTCCTGGCTAAAAATAGCCCGTTCCAGGACAGCCCATCACCTTGTGCCAAGCGCCCGCTCCCCGGCCGTGGCACAGATGCTCTTTCTCCCTCCCTCCTCCTCCTCTGCTCGCAGCAGCTGAGCACACAAGAGGAGTAAATACTCCCCGTAGGCTTCAGCCTTGTCGGCAGCAGGAAATGTACTGGCTCGCTGTGGGCAGCAAGGGGAGGCAGCACTTAGTGAGTAGAGGTTGCTGCCTTGTTTGCCCATGCATCAGGTACGGTTTGGGCAAGCCTCCCGAACACGTCACGGTCAGGGTGGGCAGCGTTTCAAACTGGGTATTGCGGGATAACCTCTGTAAATAAAGAAGGAGATGTCTTTCCTGCCCACAGGATTTATGGCCTCTCAGCTGGGCATGCCACAGGGGGGGTGTCAGTCAGTATTAACTGATGGCCAGACTGCTTTGGAAAGCCTGGATGCCCTTGACCTCTGGAGACTGGGCTGAGGTCCATCCGACTTAGGCAGCTTAAGCCACCGGAGTGTCACTGGGCTGTTTCTGGATGTGGGTCACTATCATGAACCATTCCAAATCACTGCCACGTTCTGAGGATGCCCCTAGTGCCACAAGGCAAAACCAAGTAAAGAAGTAAACAGCCAGACACATATGGCAGGGCTTAAAAGCCTCACGCTGCCGTTTACAGGGGCATCAGTTATGTTTATACAGCAAGGTAAGTTTGGCTTTTGGCTATAGTGGAATATATCCAGGGGTTGCTTGGTAAAGGAAATCTGGATTACTGCTAGAAAAAGCCAGGATGTGGCCCATAAGGTGTTAAAACCTACCCGTCCATACTGACAGTATCCCTGTACCAACTATTTCTGCATCAGATCCTACCCCAACCCTTGGGATAGATGGGGTGGCAAAGGAGGGTGGCAACACTGTGTTGTGGTTTCTTGCTATTGCAAAAGCTGTGTGGGGTGGGAAAGACTTCTTACTCTGCTGCCTCTTGCTTTAGAGCCTGAATCCTCCAAAAAAACCATATGCCCTGCCCTTTAGGGCTATTCATTATTATATGATATTCGCTATTGTATTATATTGTCCCCTTCCATACTGGAACCTGCCCCCCTGTCAGAGCCCAGGAGTCTCCTGGGATTCTGCCTTCCACATTCCCTGCTGCTTTCCCTTGAAACAGGAGCATTTGTCACGTGCGTCAGTTGGTTAATGATGAACCTTGGTGTGCTGTTAACACGTCCCGGAGCACTGCAGCACTTCGGATGAGTAGGTCTTAAGCAGCAGAGCTGGATCAGTAACTGTTGTACCCGTCAGACCGGGCATACAAAGTTCTCCTACCCAGTTGTGTAATGAAGATAAACTCTTTTTCACAGGGAGGCTTGAAGCAGCTGGCACCCGTGTGGCTGGTTAATCCAGCTAACAAAGTCCTACCTAGCTCATGCTAATTGCTCTCGCCTACAATTAACCTCCTGGCCACAATGCACATTACTCATCACTGCCTTTTTGCCCTTGGAATCCAAGCTCCGAGGCCAACGACCTCCAGTTTATGTCCTCAAGCTGCTGCATTTGAAATCACAGCCCAGGCTGCTTCCACACAGTGGCTGGAAACCACTCAAGTCTCACAGTGGACCTGCCGTAAGGACAGAGAGGGGAAAGCTGCACGTTCCACGGGCACCAGGACCCCTGCGGCGTAACCTGAACGTGGCAACTTGGCCTCACGTTCCCCATGGCTGCGCTGCTCTCTGTGCATACCCGTTAAAATCACAGCTACAGCTCAGCTCCCTGACACTGACACTCACTGGGAAGAGTCAAGGCTCGCCTTGAGAGGCCGTGGGTGCTCTCTGCACGCTCTTCCCCTTCTCCCCTCCACCCCACACGGCCGTGCCTCTCGGGGCTGACAAACTCTGTGCGGCTCTTACCTTCTTTGGCCTTTCGTGGTGGGATACGTGCTTCTCTTGAGCAGGGGATGCGGATCGACTCCTCCTTCCAGCGATGAAGGAGCTACCGCCAGAGTGACGTGAGGTCTTCTGAGGTAAGTGGGGAAGGGGAGAGGAGGTGGAGATGGGAAAAGGGGGGGAAACAGAGAAAGAGAGGGAGGACACAGTGTGACACAGTCCAGCTTTCACTGTTACAGTGAACGGCTTATCTAGGACATGCAGGACCAAGTTCTTTCTGTACCGAGCGCCCAGCCTGGCTCCCAACATGGGGACCCCAACAAGCACCGTACTGGTGGGCTACAAACAACACATAGATCTAACTCCCCCCATCTTTGTTTCTTGGTGGCCCACGTACACTGACACTTGTACAAGAAGGGCACGGCTGATAAGAACCCATTCTTCAAACCCAATGGAAGCAGCGAGGCTGCTTAGACAAGCCGGCCCTCCGGCACAGCAGTGTCCAGCTCTCAGTCATGAGGGGTTGCGGAAGGATGCCCTGCTTCTAGCAGGAGTCTTGCTATCTAGCTCAGCATCAGTAAACCTGATACAGAGCTACACTTGTGTCAGATAGCGAGGGGACCTGAAGGGCAGGAATGGTGTCCTCCAGTCTGACTTGCAGGGGAAGCTCAAGACATCAGTCACTGTATGTGACAGCACTGATAAGCAGGAAGGAGAAGTGGGAAAGTCCAGCAACAAAGGCGGCACTGAGACAGAAAGCTGCAGTGAGAGCATCGAGTTTCCTTCCTGCTGGAGCAGGGAGAGCAGGTGTCTACTAATTATGCAGAAGAGGAAAAGGGTTCCTCTTTCCGCCTGTACTGTAATTAATAGGGGGAAGTCCTTTGCCCCAAATAACCCTCCAATAGTGAACGACTCCAAGTCTCTTCTGGGCTGTGTCCTCGGGCAGCAGTTCTGTGTTACCCTCCTGCCCAGGGTGTCTGAGCTCTACCCCAAGCTCCCCTGGAGCATCAAACACTGTGGCTGCTCTCCTTTCTCGGGCCTTATCTTTCAGCCATACCGAGTGGGTCGGGGAGGCCAACACAGATGGGAAGAGCTCAACACCTACTTTTGAAAATGGGTTTACAGCTGCTATAGAAACGTGAAATATAAACTAATCTTTATTCCCAAGTGACTCTGACTGAATGGCTGAAAATAGGCGGCAGACCTTGCTTATGTGTTCTTGTCATTTCTTACTGCTCCCAGTACAGATACAATCTAGGATGAAGAGAATGCCTTTCCTGTGACAAAATCTCCACGGCAGGCATGAAGACACTCACCATTTTGTTGAAGTGGTACTTGCAGTAGCCACAATATTTGACATTGTCGACTTCTAGGACCTCCTCTTCGCATAAGAGGCCAGCCATCTGGGCACTGAAATACATGAGAGCAGGGGGAGAATAGAGCAAACTGTACAGTCAGACCATAGATCCCATCAAAGGGCAAAGAGCAGTTCAGGATAGCCAGGCAGGGTCTTGAAGATTCCTGTTCTGCTCGGCAAATGGTATGCAAGGAGGAAGGGGGGAAAAGTTCAGACTGGTTTTCATTCATATTAACATCTTCAAACGTGTCACTGCTTTTCTACCAGGTTTATCTTGCAGTTTTTTGCTTTGCTTAAGGCGGGCCTAGGAAACCAGTCGTGATTCCAACGAAAGATGGAGGAAAAGAAGGAATCCGTGTAAAGGAATCCCCCCCGCTCTGCTGAGAGGCAGCATTGTTTTCAGGCTGCAAGGGCATGCCGAAATATCAGCCCTTGAAATCACATCATCTGAGTGATACTTGTGCATGTGCTGCGCTGCCGAAGGAACATTCCTGCCTTGTGACTCATCTCTTCTCTTCTTGGATTCCACAGGGGCTGAGGGAAATCCCCAGCCTTCCTCCTCGCTGCTGAACCCTCTGCCTTCCCCTCCCGAGCTCAGCACGGGTGAGGGACCCCTCGCACCAAAGACACCCAGCAGCATCAGCCCAGCTCCGTGCGCAGCGTGGCACTCACCAGGTGACGTGGAAAGCTTGCCGGCAGCCGTGCCGGTTACAGGCCATGCAGGCACCAGAGGCTGCTTTGCTCTCCCTGCCCTGCTCTTCACAGATGTAGCAGGTCTGCAGAGGAAAGGAAAAGGCCTCATTTAGGCAGATAAAATCCGTGCCTTGCTCTTGCTGTTCATAGAATCATCGAATAGTTCGGGTTGGAAAGGACCTTAAGACCATCCAGTTCCACGGGCAGGGACACCTCACACTAAACCATGCCACCCAAGGCTCTGTCCAGGAGGCAAAGCCTTCAAGAACTCCTAACTCTGTGTCCACTCATCTCCCTCCTAGGACAGCAGCTCAGGGTTATTTCCCAGTGCCAGACCAAAAGGTGCAGTGACCAACGTCCAGCTCCAAAGTGGAGATGGCTCAAGTTGTAGGGAGTTGGGGGAGAGAGAAATGGAAGACCCAAGAGTTATTTTCAACAATGGGGACTGACTTTGTTATTCTGAAAGGGATCTGAGTCCCTGGAAATCAGAACGAACTGGATAGACAGGGTAGAATAAGATGACCCCAAAAAGCCAAGGGAGGGCAAACACACTTGGGGCAGCGGGAGAGAGAGGTGGCCTTACCTTGTTGAAGCGGTCATGGGGGACATACTGCAGGACAATTGGCTCCATGGTGAGCACGTTGGCAAACTGCACCTCTGGGATGTACAAAGCACAGACAACGTGGGCCCACCCTGGGGAAGCAAATGAGACAGAGAGAGGAGGTTCACAGGGAGCAACCCAGGAGAGGCATAAATCCAGAGAGGGCTGCAGACGAGCATGGGAGGGAGGGAGGGAAGGGAGTATAGGAAGGGAGCCAACTGAAGTTAGATGTTAGATTTGAAATACTGCTTGTTGTAACTTGGTTGGGAATCAAATCCTTTGTGGGTGAAAGACAGACGGGTACCACCTCCACATTAAATCAGAACACAGAGGTTTCTTTGGGAACAGAAATGTACAGCACCCACCGTCCTGAAAAGCATCCCCCCAGCACTTGAGACCCAAAGCATCCAAGAGATGCAATTCCTGTTGATGGGACAGGTTTGATGTGTAGCCCCACACCACTGGAGACAAAGCTCCCTTTATTGGCTGTTATCAACGGCTGAGGAAGGCTCTTTTTCAGCAAGTCAAATCAAGTTAAAACCTAAATCCACTGAGCCACTGCACAAATACAGATGTGTAAGGTGAAATTCCATCTGGTCACGTCAGAACGGAACAAGTTCGAAGGTCAGAAGCCTTAGAGGGCTAATCCATCCTGGTATGGCAACTGCACTGGAAAGATTTAGTTAGCATAAGGATGGATTCACCTGGGCAGGCAGAACCAAACTCCATGATTACAGAATCCTACAGCAGCATAAGCACTTGAGCTATATAATTGTGTAAAGGGACATGATTCTAGCACTTCTTTTCCCTGCCTACACCAACCTGACCAGACCATGTAATGATATGTTTGGAAGAAGATGCTATGTTACTATAAACCAATCCCCCAGCACAATACTTGTGCTATTGCACCAAGTCTCTTAGCACTTACGACCATCTCTAGAAGATGCTTCTACAAAATACCCTGGACTTGGTGCTTCTTCTCTAAAGAGGGGATCAGAAGAAAGACCTCTCTAATTTAACTCTTTGTGTCTTAAGGTAAGGGGCAGGTAGGCACAGAAGCCTTTCTGAAAAGCAGGGGTTTGAGAGGAATTAAATGTGATCTCTACAGCCAGTAGCATCATTAAATCAGGCTCCACAGCACTTCCCAGCACCAGAGGCTGAGAAGCATCAACGATGAGTTCTGCAGAGAAAAGCATCTTTACTGGGTCCTGGTCCCTGCTCTCGATTGGGGCCTCCAGGCTGAAGCTCTGCTAACTCCAGGATCACACTGCTGCTGAGCAAGCATGAAGCAAATATCTGCAACATCCCCATTTCTCTTAGAGCCAGATCAAGGTTGGTTACGCTCAAGAAGCTGCCTGTCCCAATGCCAGCCAGAGCTCTGGGAGGCTTCTCCATAGGGAAAGGTCTTGTCAGCGTGGGGACTTCAGCAAGTGAAGTTTTGCAAGGAAAAGGCAGTGCTTCCATTCGTGTGAAGCCTCCAGCCTTCCCTTGCTGGTGACACAGGCTCAGAAACGAGTTCCTGTGTGCTCCGGGCCAGCCCCAGGCCCCTGTGGACATACCCAGCTCCGCACGGATGTACTCACCTCCGTTGTCGGTCCGTTTCAGGGCTCCATCTTTGTGGGGACACAGTTCACATCTCTTGAAATCAAAGCAGAAACAACAAGTTTAATCGAGCTCCCGGCGACGCGGGGCCAGGGAAGATGATTCATTTACAACACGGGTATGAAAGCTGGGGCTGCTTTCAAAGAGAGGAAGTGGAAGAAGGGCTGAGGGTGGTTTGGGTGCGCAAAGATGCTCTGACACAGCTCGATGCCGTCCTGTCTGACGGGGGTGTATTTAACGCCTCAGCCCAAGAGACGCGGGGCAACGAGTGAACCTTGACTTGCACGGGGCTTTTTGAAACAAAAAGGGGTTTAGGCTTTGTGGTTGGGGGTAAAACTGAAAGCCATGACTCGGAGAGGAGGCAAACAGAAAGAAACCATTATCTACAATCTGTCTTTGCCTCTTCCCTTCCTTCCTTCTCTCTGGACGTATTTTGGGGGAGAACCACGAAGAACACATTGCCTCCTCCACTGGGGTCCAGCAAGGGCACCAGACATGAGCCCCTCACTCATTTCAGCCTCCACATTAGCCTGTTATGCCATGAGGGCTCTGCCCCTTGCCATAACGCCTTTAGGAAGGGTTGGTGGAAGGTGGGGTGGCTTTGGGCTGCGTCGCCACACCAAAACAGCCCCAAACCATGCGTGAAAACAGCCGCTGGCTTCTGATGGCGTGGGTCAGGGGAGATTTCAATGCACTTTTTGCTTCCTTTGACTTTAAAAAAGGGCATGAAGAGGTGCAAACCATTTCACAGAGTCATGGAATGGTTTGGGTTGGAAGGGACCTTAAAGCTCCTCCAGCTCCAACCCCTGCCATGGGCAGGGACCCCTTCCACTGGAGCAGCTTGCTCCAAGCCCCTGTGTCCAACCTGGCCTTGAACACTGCCAGGGATGGGGCAGCCACAGCTTCTCTGGGCACCCTGTGCCAGCGCCTCAGCACCCTCCCAGGGAAGAGCTTCTGCCTAAGAGCTCATCTCAGTCTCCCCTCGGGCAGGTTAAAGCCATTCCCCTCGGCCTGTCCCTACAGGCCCCTGTAAAAAAAGTCCTTCTGCATTTCCTCCCCCAGTTAAAATGTCAGATTTATTAAAACCCCAAAACAAACCCCCTTGTTTTCAGTGAAAAAAAAAAAAAATGTGCTTTGTCAGAAAGTTTCTAAATGAGGTTTTGTCAGAAGGTTTCTAAATGAGGTGCCTGATGTCAAAGGGAGACAGGAACCTCTGCCACTATGAGCGTGTGGGACCCTGTGCTCCGCGCCTCGCTGTGACGGCTCAGATGCTCCATGCCTCAAAGAACACCTCCGTAGTGAGCAATAACCGGCTACAAGGAAAAGCCTCTGCTACCAAGTAGTCCCCGAGGACCTTCCACAAAGGTTTTCCTCAAGCAAGCTTTCCACTGCTGCAATTCTACCTTCGGGACAGACTGGCACAATAAATAGGACTGTAACGCAATGGGCAACAAGGGAGGCTAAGCCCAATCCTCAAGTGCTTCCATGGGAGTGAAGCATGGAGAGCTGTCAAACAGGCACCTCTGGCAAGCCCCACATCCCTGTGATAACATAGAAGAGATGAGGAGACAAAGACCAGCACTGCTGTCAAGGACCCCGTTTTACTTGCCCTGAAATAGGGATGGGTGATACAGGAGGGGGTTCTCAGGGCTCCTGGTCAGGACTGGGCTGCCAGAGCTGCTCTCACAATCACTATGGAAAGCCCGGCAGAGCCAAGACAGAAGAAATGGGTTAACTGAGACACTGTAATAAGAAATTTGCACTTGAAAAGGCCCCTCCGCTCTCCTCTCCACCCCTCAGATCAAAGCCGCTCTCCCACCATGCGATTAGCAAAGCTCTGATTGTAACAAGAGGGGTTAACAGCTCCATCGGCCCCACACAAGACTTTTAATAGCCCTGCCTCCAAATGACAGCTAAAGCCTTCACATGATCCCTCACATGAGTGCCCTCTGGCCATTCAGCTCACCGGGCTTCCTAGACAATTTGATTACAAAGTGGAGGGGCTTTCAGTTGATTACTGTAAGCACAATAGCATCCACAGCATCCTTTAGGGACCTGAGCATCTGAGGAGGGGTTATGAGCGGGGATTAGCAGTACCTCTTCCTCTTATTCAACCTGCATAGGCCAAGGAGGTCTCTGGGGGGTTTATTTCAACCCTGGGAAAAAGAGCTGAGCTCGGTTGATCTCAACCCGGTTGTGATGGGTAAGATGAGAGCTCCTGACCCCCTGGGGCTCCTCACTCCGGGATTTACCACCAGACTACACCTGAAACTTAGAGCTCCAAAGCCGAACTGGGGATGGAGTCCATCTCTCCAAAGGACAGAGAGAGGAATCAGGAGAGCTGTGTTTTAAAAGCACTCCCTGAGGAGTGCAACGTTGCCCGTGCCTCTGCATCTCATTTTCAAAGCAGAAGTATCAATATTTAGCCAAGAAATCTGTTTGTTATGGACAAGGCTTGTAAACTGCTTTGAGATGCTTCTGGGAAGGCAGATGTGGGAAGAAAAACCTTGTTGTTTTTCAAAGGAGTTTGCCACACACTCATTATGAAAGAAACACGACCAGCAATCCATCCTGTTGCTGCTGCCGCCAGGCTAATTCGTGCTCAAATCTCAGCACCTCTCCTTCGAGCTCCTCAAGGCAGGTTCTGCAGGGTGGTAATGCCCTCTTTACAGCTGGAGAAAGCAGTGGAACCCCAGGGCAGTGGAAGAGTCACACCTCCAGCCTCGCTGGACCACAGAGCCCAGATCTGAAGTGGTTTAGCAGCAGAGCCACGCACAGATCTCTTAAGACCTGACTCATTTCCCTTACTCTGATCATGCTGCTCCCTACATCAAAGAGCTAGATTTACCCATCTGCACATCTGTTGCTATGACTGCTGCTGTTTAACTGAAAAGGTGAGGGATTTAGATAGGAAATCACCCCCAGCTCTGCTTAGGAAGGAAGATTATCACTGTTGAGTTATTATAGTAGCAGGACTGAATGCCACGGGACTGAATGGCACGACTGAAGCCCACCAGGCATTGTCTAACGGCTTTCACCCAGAGCCAGTTAAAGAAGGAGCCACCTGCAGGGTTATTGTTGTCTTGATACCTTGAAGGCAGCTTGAAGTGTGTAATGTGCACGTGAAAAGTCAGTCCTTGCAACGAGTACAGGTAAGGAGGGTTAAGTGTATACCTGTTACGACAGCTCACGCTGCGTTGTAGCTAATGCTGAATGGCTTCACTCTACCTGCACATTTGAAAGAGCAGGGGGGGGAAGGAGGCCCAGGAAACCCAAATTCCTTTCTTTGCTATGAAACTACCTGCGGGATGTAAAACCACTCAAAGACACATTTGATCTTCTTTACTGCAGTGCACATAAAAGCAGCATCTTACAATGGGAGAGGAGCTCGGGTCTGAAAGTCTGGCCTTGTTTACACTCCCACCTCCAATGAGGAATGAGTTAAGGCAACGTCAAAAGCATGGTACAGATACCTAATTCCCCCATTCACTCATCTTTGCCAAGTTCTTTGCCCATCTGTGAGACAGATTAAGCTTCTGTAGCGCAGCGAGCAGAGCCCAGCTGAGATGAAGCACGCTATCCGCACAGATCCCCGGAGCTCACCTACATCAACTTTCCTAAGCATGTGCTTTAGCAAAGATTCAGCTAAACCAGTTCAAAAGGCAGGAAATGGGGAAGATTTACTGCACGGCAAAAGCAGCACCCACAGCATCCCTAACGCTGCATCCCAATGCCCCAGCAGTCGGCTGGGAGGAGCAAGGACTCGAACTCCATGATCCCTATGGGTCCCTTCCAACTCGAGATGCTCTATGGTGCAGCCGTATCATGTAAGGGCTCACATGGGAAGTAACTGCAGAGTAGCTGGCATGCCATAAACTCACAGCCTAGTTTACTGCCCAAATAACTTCGCCACATAGAGCTCAGAGGCAGCCCTGGGCCTGATTGTTTCCACTTCCCTGCCTCACCGGGAAATGCCAGAATTAATTGAGAACATTTGTAAATGTTCTAGGCTGCTGAATCACTGCTTTCGCCAGAAACGGAGCCCTCATCCACCTCCCTGTCACTTCGCTGCTTCACAGACTCAGAAGCCTTTATGCAGGAGACTGTTGCTGCAAGGGAGATGCGAGTGCCAATCCAGCCTGGCAGCCAGCGCGGTAACTTTGACAGCACAGCAGCATCTCTGGATGCCAACCTTCCTCCACTCTAAAGCTTCCTGCGGAGCAGGGAAAGCACCTCTTAGGAGAATGCCATGCTTTGTTTTCTTTTCTAAATGAGACTGAGGTCTCCAAGACACAAAGCTGTTGACATTGATAACTTGCTTAAAAGCAGAATCCTGCGGAATTGTCACCAAAATGGCCAACAGCATTGCATCAGATTGTTTAACACAACTATTCCTATGGTATAACCAAGATAGAGCAGGTTACAGGCAGAGCTGGGGCTGCAATCACAGCAGAGCTGGAATTCCAGGCTCCGTAGCTTCTCCAGGGGCTCCTGGTAGTGGCATGAAGGGCACTGAATGAACCTGCTCCTCTGTGTAAGTACAAGCGTGCTCCGTACTCACCACCCGGGCGGCTCTCTCTTGAGATTCACACTTCCGACAGAACCAGGGTCCGGTAGGAACCTGGACAATTCCATAGCAAGCTGGAAGAAGAGCAAAGAGAGTTCATTAGATCATCTTTAAATCAACCATTTCATATGTCAGGGGTATACAAAAGGTTGCCAGAGCTGTTGTCTCTCAGAGATGCGTGTCAAAACCCCAAAATGACATCTACAGCATGTTTTATTCCTCTTTCGAGTTTCCATACCCAGCAACAGGGGGCATTTTCCAAGAGATCCATTTACACAAGCTTTCCAATAAGCTCATGCCCAGGATGAGAAATTCCTGTGGAAACCTGGCCTAAGCAGGAATGGAGTGCTTCATCAACCGTGGCTACCTCTGGCCTAGGGAACACAAACAGAGTCATTTCTTACCTCTGAAGAGTCATTATCATTCTAAATATAACATTGGGAAAAGGATGGCTATGAAGCCCCTTAACCAGAAACAGGACTGAGATTAAATCTCAGCACAGTGAAGGAAATACTCTCCATGAGAATTCAGACAGACACCAAGCAGAACTGGCTCCGGGTCCAGCCTTTCCCAGCAGGCTTCCAAAACCACTGAGTTCAGGCTGTTTAGGACTACTCCTGTGAGCAGGTTCTGCGTCAATACAAGTCCCCAGCTGCTAACCCAACAGATCTGGTTTTATCCAGCTATACCTCACATCCCTCTTGCTTTCTACATCACTAGTGATGCTCTCGGGGTCTATCCTCTGCAAGCTGCAGCTCCCACTTCTTTCCAATTAGCCCGTCTCGGATGGGGCAACACTGCTTGAAGATTGTTCACCTTCTTCTGCGATCTCCTCCCTCTAACTCTCCAAGGATGGTCTTTGTGAGTCCCAAAGGAAGCGGTTCTGACCCTCAAAGGGCTCTTAGCCACCACTTAGCCACCAAACCAAGTGGGTTTAAAGCAAAAGAGGCTGGGGAAGATAGTGGTAAGAAGAGTACGCATCTCAGACAAGGGTATGGGAGTCTCCTAGGAAAGAACAAATTATATCTTCCTTTTCCCACCTTCAAATGCGAGCTAGCAGTTGGAATGGCATCCCAGTCACTTGAGACATTTGAAACTAGGTTGGACAAAGCATCTGAAAATATCCTGCTGGAAGCAATCCTGTGATGCTCCCCAGGGGATGGACCAGACACGACCCGCAATAGGTTCTCTCCATCTCTCTAAGGTCTGTTATCCCACATGAGGCAGGAAAAGGAATGCAATTGTAGAGTTAAACTGAAAGAGCTGACTGTGAGATGAGCCAAGGCGTACGCACAAGAAAATAGAAGCTACATGAAAGCAATGACAGAGGAGTCTGGGTCCATCTTTAGCAGCGGGCTTAGGGCCAAAGGCAAGCACTCAGCTGGAGCCAGTGTGAGCTTCTGTGCCCGCTGCTTCGAAAAGGAAGGAAACAAGGAAGGAGGAAAGCCAGGAGGAAAGCAGACCACGAGTACGGCAGAGCTGACAATATGATTCATAAGCGTTCTTAACTATCTTATTAGAGCTCCATTTCAATCAGATGGTTTTGTTAACGTTCCGAATTGGTTCCTGGGTAGGCAAATTTCTAAGCACCATCACAGAACTGGGATTGGGACTTTTAAAAGTCAGCCCTAAAGCGTAGCTATAAAACAGGGTTTTTTTAACTCCAGTGTTCTTTAGCTGTACAATCATATCAAAAGGTTAACTTTGGTTTTGCTGATATCCAAGCAGCACAGGCACCAAACCCTGGGTGTGATTGCACCGAATGAGAGAGACGATCCCCTCCAGTGGTTTGTTTCTACTTCAGAAATAAAAGCCCACCAAATCACCACGCTACTAAGAGGGTTATGAGCAGGCTTTAAAAAGAGGGTTGAAGAACAGGGGCTACACACTGCTACACTGCATATCATAGGATCACAGGATGGTTTGAGTTGGGAGGGACCTTAAAGTTCATCCGGCTCCAACTCCTGCCATGGGCAGGGACACTTCCCACTGGAGCAGCTTGCTCCAAGCCCCTGTGTCCAACCTGGCCTTGAGCACTGCCAGGGATGGGGCAGCCACAGCTTCCCTGAGCAACAAATGCATTACTATATCCTGAAGGATATCCAGGGCCTAAGCAGACAGTTGGGGTTTCCAGGCATGCAAGCGATGCCCTTCCTGAAGCTTTTCGAACATGTTCCAACTCCACCAAAACAACAGCAGGGCAAAACCATCCAATCACCAGACCTGTGCAGGCCTAGGAACAGGCACCCTAAAAGAATAAAAGCATGGTGCATGTTCTTCCACCTGTGAAGCTGTCCTTTGCCGGTAAGCAAAAGTGTTTCTATTCATCTCGGGAGTGGGCAGAAGGATGCCAATGCCCTTCATCTCCCTCCAAAAAAAAAAGAGAGCAATGAAGAAACCTGTTCTCTAGCATGGGGTTTGATAAATAATGAGAATTGTAGACTTCTAACAGTGAAATTAAACCAGAAAGAAGCATCTTTCCATAGGGAAGTCCTGCCAGGTCCTCAGGGCTGCTTGATGCCAGGAGACACCCGAGCATCACCTCGGACTGAAGAGAAATCCCCACAAGCTTCACTTCCTCATTGTAACTCCCCTCTAGTCACCTGGTTGTAAGCGACTTCTTAATAACCCCGTGAGCAGGGACACACCAAACGCAGGGGAAGCAAAAGCAAGCCCAAGCTCCGGACCCAGAGCCCAGCGGAGCTGAAACCAGGAGCATGCATCAAGGCACCGAGGGAGCGCTTGTACAGGAAGAGGCTGGCGATGTGCTGGTGGATGGATGGGATAATAATAGATGGAAAAACAGACATGCCAGATGAGCCCAGAAACCTTCGTGCTATTCAAAACAACGCAGCCAGTGTAATCACGGTGCCTTTCTGCTGGCGTGGAGCGAAAGCAAACCCATATCCTTTTAATCTCGCTGTTGTTGTTGTTTGGGTGGGAGACCCGAGGACAAACTTTCCACTCCGGTGCCGTGTGTTAGGGGCGTGCTCCAAGTCATTTAAAATGCAAATCACCCGCAGCACTGCGAGCAGAGGGGCTGCCCTCCTACCGCCCGCCCCGGGGGTTACCGGAGGGTACCGGACCCCCCCCTCCAGCCCCGTTCCCCGGGGCTCAGAAGCCCGCCCTACCCGATGGAACGGGGAGGGATGGGGGGGGAACCCGGCTCCGCCGCCCCAGGAGGCACCACCACCACCACACACACCCCCCCCCGCGGCTCCCGGTAACGAGCACCCCCGGAGGTGCGTGTGTGTCGTGTGTCCCCCCCCTCGCCATCCCCGGCAACCGGGGCGCAGCTGATGCCCGCCCCGCTCCCCCCGCGGCTCCTCCGCCGAGCCAGGCCGGCGGCGACACCGTTATTTGGAACAATAGGGATAAAACAAAGCCCCCCCTCCCGTCCCCCTTCGCCTCCCCCGTGTGTGTGTGTGTGTCCCGTCGTCCCCCCCCTCCCCGTCACCTTCCCCTTGGCCTCCCCGGGGCGCCCGGCGGCGGAGGCGGGGGGGAAGGCGGCGGCGGCGGCGGCAGCGGCCCCGCGGTGCCCGGTGCCGGTCGGGTCGGGGCCGAGCCGGGCTCCGGTGCCTTACCTTGGTGCACCGCCACATTGCAGCCGTGCCCGTCGCAGTACACCAGCGGGTTCTCCGCCCAGCCCCGCTCATCAGAACAGACACAGCAGCCTCCCACCATCTCCTTCATACTTCCATGAGGGTTTCCTTCCCCCCCCCCCCCGCCTCCCTTACGCACACACTCCTCCTCCCTCCTCCTCCTCCTCCTCTCTCCTCCTCCTCCTCCGCTCTCCCCCCGCCCCGCTCGCAGCCCCGACGCCCTTCGCGGGGGTTGCGGGGTGTTCGACACCCCCCGGGCAGCGCTGGGGTTGGGGGGGGGCTTCGGGGCCAGCCTATGGACACACAGAACCCCCCCCTCTTTCCCCCGTACAATCATGGCTCCGCTAAAAGCCGAGGTTCGTGTGCTGCACGCAGGCTGGTGCGGGTGCGTTCCTCCCCGTGCCTGTGTGTGTGTGTGAGATGATTTAATTGTATTATTGGTATCAGTATTGTTTTTACACACAAACACATCCCCACCACCACCACCAACCCCCCCCCTCCGGCCGCTTTACGCCGCATCTCCGTGTTTTTGTTCTCCCCTCCCTCCCGAGCAGGAATCCGAGTGTGCAGCCGGGTGTGCAAACCGCTGGATGCGTGCCCGAGCCAGCCAACATGGATCGCGCCGGAGGGATGAGCCGGGACCGCTCCGCAAATCCCATTATCTCCGCAATCCCTGACAGATCCGGGCTCCGAGAGCGCCACCGGCTGTCCTGCTCCCGGCGGCTCCTTCTGCGGGAGGCTTTAACCCCTTTGGCACCTGTTTTTGTTATCTTTGCGTGGAAGAAGGGAAAGGGACCCCTTTGTGCCCAGCAGGACAAGGGTCAGGAATCAGCTGGAAACCAGTGAAGAGAAATAATCATAGAACCATCGAATAGTTTGGGTTGGAAAGGACCTTAAGATCATGCAGTTCCAACCCCCCTGCCATGGGCAGGGACACCTCACACTAAACCATCTCACCCAAGGCCCTGTCCAACCTGGCCTTGAACACCGCCAGGGATGGAAGCATTCACAATCTCCCTGGGCAACCCATTCCAGTGCCTCACCACCCGAACAGGAAAGAATTTCCTCCTTATATCCAATCTAAACTTCCCCTGTTTAAGTTTTAACCCGTTACCCCTTGTCCAGTCACTCCAGTCCCTAATGAAGAGTCCCTCCCCAGCATCCCTATAGCCCCCTTCAGACACTGGAAGGCTGCTCTGAGGTCTCAAAGCACCTTCTCTTCTCCAGAATGAACAGCCCCAACTTTCTCAGCCTGTCTTCATGCTGGAGGTGCTGAAGCACAGTGAGTTGTGCTGTACGGGATTGCACCTGCAGGGCCCATAAATCCTAGAATCCTAGAAACAGACCCAGGGAATCATAGAACCATGGAATGGTTTGTGTTGGAAGGCACCTTAAAGCTCCTCCAGCTCCAACCCCTGCCACGGGCAGGGACCCCTTCCACTGGAGCAGCTTGCTCCAAGCCCCTGTGTCCAACCTGGCCTTGAACACTGCCAGGGATGGGGCAGCCACAGCTTCTCTGGGCACCCTGTGCCGATGTGAAAACCCTGGTATATTGTGAGGAACAGCTCTTGCCTTGGAGATACCATCCAGAACGGACAAGGAAAAGTGAGGAGAACCCAAACGCTGAGCACAAAAGTAATTAGATCTTAGAAAAGAGGCCTAGGAGAACCCCAAAGAACTCATGTAATGTGTTCCTGTGGCTCCGGCTCTGCCTGGAATCATCTGCTGGAGGACCCAGAGCACCTCCAAGGGAGCAGAGCCAGGTTTCCTGGTCTTGTGTGGGTCCTTACCCTGGCACCACGCTGGCTCCATGGAAAAGAGGCAGTGCCTGGTGCCAGAGTGTGCAGAGGAACAGTAGAAAACCTCACAGTGAACATTCTATTGCCTGCATCGATAAAGAAAAATGGGTCCCCTCCACTTGCTGTGCTGCCTGTAGGGCTTAAAACTGTTTCCAGATGCTGGCATGTACGGGAGTAGCCAGGAGGCCATATCCTTACTCAAGAGTTTCCATCACCATCGATGTTCCTGCAGAAAGGTTATCCCTGGAACACAACCTCAGTTCTGCTCTCGTGCTGCAAGTGCATCGCTGCAGTGGCTCCACAGGAACTGCTCCTGGTTATAGCAACGTAAAGAAGAGCAGAAACAAGGTCCATGTCTCATATGTGACCCTCTTCTCGCTGAAAGCATTCCCCTTGTGACAGGTAGTCTTTGGGAGGCCGGTGTAGCCCATCATCTCATTTCTTTAAGCCAGACCTCAGCAAAGAGCGGAGAGGAAACCCATTCCAGCAGCCCCAGTAATCACCAGTTTAGCATCCTTTATACTGCACCTGTTCAAGCATTACATCAAGGGGCTGGAAGGCAGACGGCTCCCTGAGAAGCTGCCTGCTGGGTTGCTGTCTTCCTTTTATTCCATCCCTTTGAGAGTCCCAGGGGCAGACAATACGGTCACCACATTGCTGGAAATTCACTGAGCCTTAGCTCACTTTTCTGGGAGGGTTTCCCCTCCTCTCCCCCTCTTTTTCTTTTGCTCTCTTCTTCCTTTTATCTATTGTGTTACGAACGTGTTTAAAAGAAAAGAGGGAAAATCTGGCTGGGTGCCTTTGTAACCTGAAGGAGATCCTTGTGGGCTGGGATTGTCTTCGGCTACGGGACAAAATGCTAAACATCCACCATCCCCTGACCGTCTTGGTTCCAGTTGGCCATGCCAGCAGACACTTGGACTTGAACTGCAAATTTGCCTTTGGGGGATTACGTTCCAATTTACATAAGTAATTCCTGTGGTGAGGAAAGGCTAGGCCAGGGAGGAAAGGGCACGGCGGTTTCTTGGGAGAAAGTAGGGGGAAAGTTACAACTTAGTGGAAAAGGAGACGTGGAGGGATTTAATTTACAAGGCTCGGTTGTGATTTTAGCCACCAGGTTTGGAACTGGGGCTATATATAGGGAGCAGGCAAAGGTCAAAGGATGCGTGCTAACTTATGGGGACCGTTGTCCTCAGGATCTCAGTGGTAACTTCAGAAGTTGCTACTAAACTGAGTGATTTATGACTATATCCATAAAACTACGGGTAAGGGGACTGGCTTCAAGGCTCGTATGTCGTGAGCAGAACTGCTCTCTCTGTCCTCAGAGGCTTTGTTACAGAGGAGCTTCCATTTCCAAGGGGGTCCCTTGCATTTCTTTGAGGAGTATTTAGAAATAACATGAATTTAGTTACCATCTAAGTGCCTGACGTGGAAATTCTTGAGATATGTTAAATAAAATGCTCTTACCAGGGTGCAAGGCCGTATCATTGCATTTTCCAGATTACTCATATGTCAGCTACTTTATCTATAGAACACGTACATCCTATGTTAAAGAACAACAAACTCCCAACATGAACACTTATCTTGCTCATGATAACTCCGCATGCTCTTCGGAAATGTAATGACTGATCTACATTAGAGAAGTGCTTATGGCCTGGCTTACACACAGGGTCGATGCAAGGAAAACCCTGGGATGTGCACACTTAATGGCTTGCAGTGATAGATTGCCTCTCTGGGCAGTATTGCAGCCTTTTCCAACCGCTTCTCCTGGGACTGAAGATTCTTCCTTCCTTCACTTAGGGGGAAACTGTGGCTTGAGATTATCATGAGTAAGGACCATAATTTATCTGGGCTAAAACTTGCCTATTTGTGGACCCGCAAATCTGTGCCCCCGCTTCACGACCCTGTTTGTTCCATCAGATTTTATCCTGTTCCTCTCAGGCAGGCTGGAGGAAGAGAGAACTGTGCAGATAAGAGCAATAATCCTCCCTCGGCAGCCAAATTCCTCCCAGTCCCCAGCAAGAACCGCTACTTTAAAGTCTAAATCTCTCAGTTGGAAGTGTGGGATCAGTTCCACAGAGAGCAGCAGGAAAGTCTTATCCTCTGTTAGCAGCAGCCACCGGGGAGAACACCACGGAACAGGAGAGCTCTCCAAACCCTATCTCTTTTAGAAAGCTGTTTTCTCACTTAGGCCAAGCTATCCATCCTTCTCACTGATGTCTACACCTTGAGCTCCTCCATCTCTCTTCGAACACTTAGTAGCACGGTGAGACGACTACACACGTTATTTCTACACCCTACTTAGACAAAACCATTTAGTTCAGCTTTCTTTAAAGCTTTGCTGGTGATGCTTTTCCTCTGCATCCTTTGCTTGGATCCCGTAACGTTAGAAATACACCAGTTGTCAAATTTCAAGGCCAACAAGCATCCCTCCTTGAAGAAGCAAAGAATCTACAGCAGAGGATTCTTCTGCAAAGCTGGGGAGATGCCATGGACCTGCTGCAAGACTTCAGGTAAGTTATTTCCCTTCTTCCTTCTTTTCTATTTGCCTTATTAGACCTTTGAGAAGGGAATACCAGTTTCCCACACATTCTGCATCACTCTAGGGTCAGCAGGGTCTTGATGGCACTCAGACTCTCTGCACCATACAATCACAGAATGGTCTGGGTTGGAAGGGACCTTAGAAACCATCTGGTTCCAACCCCCTGCCACGGGCTTGTTCCAGCATCATAATTCACAGTGATTGTAATAGGAAGAAACAGGAGAATGATGGTAACAGAGCAAGGAATGATCACATGTGATACGCACAAAACTTTACCCCATTTATTCTTTTCCTCTCCGACACATAATGATGTTAATGGGATAGTTCTGGACCTTTACTGCCTTTGCAGTGGGTTTATAAAGGCTATAAACTTTGTCCCTTTTTCTTCACAAACACTCAGCAACAATGCTTATATCACCCAGCAACAACACCAGGTCTGTATTCACAGGCTGGTAGGGACGAGGCACAGAACTGGGATATTTACACCACAGATGAGGGAGATGCCTCCCAGTGCAACCAGCCAGCCCCATGGTGCACACTTCCCTCAGCTCTATCAACGCCTCTGAACTCTCTTTCCCCGTCACAGGACAAGGAAAAAAGCCCACTGAGGTCCACAAAGACTTCTGGTACCCGGCAGGACCGGGAGCTGGGACCTGCCGAGGCAAAGTCTCTGTTTAAACAGGAGCATTGCTCCCGAGGGAGAGAAAGTGAGACCTTTGGCCCTGCTCTTCATTAACCACACCTACCACCCTCCCCGATGCTCTTCCTCCTCCC